TTCGCTGCTCCCTGAGGGTGTGTTCCTGGGGAGATTACCCGCGCGGCGCTGTGCTTGCTAGAAGTTCAAGTTCACACATGTCGCAGCCTCACAGCCAGTATGCTCAATGGTAGTCGCGGAAGCCCAGTCCAGGGCTGGGATGCGAGGGAGTAAGGACTGATCCCTGGCTTGAAAGAACTAGGTGAGAAAGACAAGCGCTGTGAGTCTCGCAGGAGGAGCACCCGACGAAGCCCCGGAGGGAGGGACTGAGGGAAAGCAGGAAACGTTCACCTTTGTAGAACTTTAAGGAATCATGCGTTTGGAGGCAGAATACAGACTGGATGACTGATGGGTGGGGCACAGGGGCTGGGATTTGATCCTAAACTATCCCAGATTCCTACAGGCCTCTGAGCAAAGGAGCCTGGTGACCAGGCTTTGTACCTGCCCCTGAGTAGATACTACTCGCCACGTGAGTCGAGGCGAAAGATGAAGGGAGAGATTGAGTAGTAGTAGTAAAAGAAATGGAACCAACAGGACTTTGTGAGCACCTGGATTAGGAGAGAAGAGCTGATTTTTATATGGATTCCCAGGTTCCCAGGTGGGGTGGTGCTGGACGCAGAATCCTCGGTGCACCTGCGTTGACAATGAGTGGCTGATACAAGCAGCGCCTGTGGGACGGCCAAAACCGGTTTCTATGGGAGAAATAATCCCTTGACACAGGAACAGTAAAGAGGAGGGAGCACTTCCCAACTTGTTCACTAAACTAACATTTACAAAATACCAAAACCAGGGATTCAGGCAGCTTTTTCATCTGCCCTCTTGGTAAGCTTCTGCAACGCTGGCCAGGAGGAGAACAGAGCTCCAGAGTTCCGGCCATGGAGGGATGCAGGCAGCTTATTCACAGGCCCTTTTGGTAAGCGTCTGCAACGCGGATCAGGAAGAGAGCAGAGCTCCAGATATCCGACCATGGAGGGATTCAGGCAGCTTATTCACCTGCCCTCTTGATAAGCACCTGCAGCTTGGGCCTGGAGGAGAACCATTACTTGAAGGCCAACCTCTACGTGGAGCTGAAAATCAAGCACCCTTCTCCCACCTGCCCCCTCCCCCATTACCTACTGGGGATAGATATTTCAACATCTCTTGGGAGGATGACCATATGCAGTATAGCAAATATGGGGGATTTCCTACTCTCTTCTCTTTGAAGGCATAGGTTGTTTTCACTTTTTGTTATGTTTCTTTTGCTCTATTCAATATTCTCAATTGATTTTACAATGTTCTATTTTTGGTTTGATTTTACAATACATAATTGACTGGAAACACTATTTTGCTTAAATGGCTATGTTTTGACCTGTGCTATTTTGTTGTTATGCCCTCTTTATTATCTCAATCTCCTTTTTATTATCTACTTTTTCATTTTTATCCTTTTAATTAAGGGAAAAATAAATAAAAAATAGCAGGATATATTATAGTAACCCACTTTGATTTCCTATTAACTTGATTTGAAACCCTGTATTGCTCTCACCATCTTTTGACTGATTTTCCTCTATTCTGTTATGCTTGATAGTACCAAGTTTGAAAGTATAGGCAACAACTATGAAGACAATAAGATTCATTGTGATGCCCATTCTGGTTGACTATTATCTTCTTTTGAAGTCCTCTAATGTCTCCAATGTTTTGGTTTTATTGGTCTTATTCTTTACTGTTTTGTTCAATTTTATTATAACGAGATATAGGCAATTCTTTTTAAGATAACAAGAAGTTGGGCTGGGGATTTAGCTTAGCGGCATAAGTGCCTGCCTTGCAAGCAGGCAGTCGTGAGTTCGATCCCCGGTACCGATAAAAAGGAAAAAGACAAATAAATAAATAAATAAATAAATAAAAGATAACAAGAGGCATTATGGTAACCATTATTGATCACCTTGTATTTTGTTTTTACATAATGTATTATGTCCATCCTTTTGACTTGACTGACTCTGTCCTGTTATGTCACATTTGGTTTTACTTTCTTCAAAAAAAAAGTAATAAGAACTGTGGGAGTAATAAAACCCAAAATGTGTAATTGTCATTGTACAAAAGAAAGGAAAAGAAAGTGCTCTAAAAGATATAACTGCATATATATTTAAGTGTATAAGATAGATAACCGTATTACTGAGTTTTGTTGGATCATAGAACAAAACTGTTTGCAGTCTCACTGTTTGAAAGTCCCCTCTATATGCTTTAATTTTGTAACTTGAACAACTATTTCTAAGATGAAAATATGTAATTAACTAGTGATTTCCTACTGTTTATTTTTTCTGAAACTCTGTATAACTTGTACCCTTTTTCTGTTTTTTTTTTCCCCCTTAAATAAAATTAAAAAAAAAAAACAAAGACATTAAGAGAGGGGAAGGGAGTTTTGTGGGCTAATACCTTTCATGAATTTAAAAACAAAAACTTCGCAAAATGTAAGCAGGTCAACTCCAGTAGTATGTCGAGACCCAGTGCAATTGATTGATCTTAGTAATGCAAGATTGGTTTAGCATTCAGAATAACTCAGTAGGGTCTGAGTAGCTCAGCAGCATAAGCGCCTGCCTTGCAAGCAGGCAGTTGTGAGTTCATACCGATTAAAAAAAAAAAACTCAGTAGATGTAATTCACTATAAAAACGAAGGAGAAATAATGGGTCATCTCAATAAGTAAAGGAAAATGTGACAAAATTCAGTGTTTACTTGTGATTTGGAGGAGTCTTGGTTTTTTGACGCAGGATCTTGCTATGTAGCTCAGGCTGGCCTCCATTCCTGCAAGATCCTCCTGCCTCCGCCTCCCAAGTGCTGGAATTACAGTTGTGCTCCACAGCCTCTGGATCTATTCAACATTTTACCAGAGATCCTAACCAAATCAGTAGGGCAAAAAAATGAAGCGGCACACATCTGTGTTATCAGAAAAGAAAGTAAACTCATTCACAGGTGTCATGATTTAGAGTACAAACTTACTAGAACTAATACACTGAATCTAGTAAACTCGGTATGCAAGACCAATATAATATATAAGAGCCAGTTATACAGAGCACTAGCCTAGCTTGCTCGAGACCCCGGTCCCCACACTGCAAAGGAGAAAAAACAAAAAGGAAAAATTTTTCTATATACTAACATCTAGTTGGCAATTTAAGATACGGACCACTTGTTGTAGCATCCAAAACATGAAATACTTGAAATAAATTTAACAAAATAGATGCCAGACTTGTGGACCAAAATATATAAAACAGCCAGGCATGGTAGTACATACCTGTAATCTCAGTGCTCAGAAGGCTGAGGCAGGAGGATTGCCATGATTTTGAGGCTAGCCTGAACTACATAGCAAGATCCTATCTCCAAAAACAAATGAACAAAGAAAATCTATAAAACACTGCTGATAGGGGCCTGGGGATTTAGCTCAGCAGCATAAGCACCTGCCTTGCAAGCAGACAGACGTGAGTTTGATCCCGGTACCGATAAAAAGGAAAAAGACAAAAAAAAAAAAAGCACTGCTGATAAAAGTTAAAGGATCTAAGTAGATTGTACCATGTTTATAGATGGAAAGCCTCAGAAGTGTGATGGAGCTGGTGATGTACTTCAGTTGTAGAGGACTTGCCAGTGCACGTGAGGTCCTGTTTAATCCCCAGTACAGAAAGGGGGAAAAAACTGTGATGTTAATTATTCCTATATTGATCTTTACATTCAAAAAAATCCCAATAGAAAAATCTCAACCCTTTTTGTAAAATTTGATAAGCTCACTATAAAATTTATATGAAATGCAAAGAATCTGAAATAGGTACATAAAACTTTGTTAAAATAGCAAACAGTTGGCAGACTCCTGATTTCAAGATTTACTGCAAATCTGTAATAAAAATAGTGTGATGTTGGCCTTGCATAGACATAAACATCAGTGAGACAGAATGAAGTCTAGAAACAGGCTGGTATAGATGATTGATTTTCACCAAACATGCCAATGTTAATCCATAGGGAAAGGCTATATTCTGAAATTTGTCTTCCAGGAACTGCATATGCAGTTGGGGGAAGAGGATTGATCCTCACCTAACACTATACACAAAAATTAACTCAAAATGTATTGTAGAGCTGGGCATAGCACATGCCTGTAATTCCAGCATTCAGAAGGCCAAGACAGGAGGATTGCTATACATTCAAGACCAGCCTGAACTATATAGCAAAAACCCTGTCTCCAAAAACAAACGTTTTGTAGAATAATAAAAGCTAAAACTACAAAACTTCTGTTAAAACTTACAAAGAAAACTCCAGAATCTTAAGTTAGGCATGTGCCATAGAAGAAGGATGAAAGATCTGGGAGCATAGTTTGGTAATAAAAGGTTTGCCTCATTCTCCCTGGGCTCAGTCCCAGCACTAAAAATTTTAAAAATTAAGTGAAATTTTTAAAAAAGATAGGACTTCCTCACATTTAAAATTTCTGGTATTCCAAGATACTACTAGTTCGTTTTGAGAAGGGTCTCACAGTAGTTCATACTGGTCTTGAAATCATTATGGAGCCCAGGCTGGCCTCAAACTCCAACTAATCCTCATTCCTCAGCCTCCTGAGTGTTGGAATCACAGGTGTCACCACCATCCCAGGCTTGGAGATACACATTGAAAACCACAGTGAACTACTAGCAAGTGAATTACAGGCATTAGAACTAGGCAAATGAATTACAGGCAGGTAGACTGACAATGCCTGGTGCGGACCGGCAGACCTCTCAAGGAGAGGTGCACTTCCAGTGTCTCTAAGCCTCCCTCCGGGTACTGGCAGCAGCACTAGGTCAATCCCCACCGGTAGGAGACCTCGGAGCCAGCAACGACCTCACCTGTGCACTCGTTAGAAACGCAGATTCTCCCTGGCCCTCAAAGACTTCAGTGGGAGAAGGAAAGTGAGGCCCAGCAATGAGGGTTTTAACAGCCTGCAGGTGCCTGGGCCCAGGGGCAGGAAAGCCGGGAGAACGCGATAGGGCAGACAGAGCTGCTTCTAGAAGGCTGATTGGACACGGCCCCTTGCCTTTCTGGCTTTTAACAGTGAGGTGCATGTGGGCAGCTGCCCTCCAGGGAGTCGGGTTCGGGTGCAGAGATTCATGGCTGGCCTAAGCACGGTAGGACAGAGAGGCCTGGGGTCCGCTCTCTCTAGCCCTTAGTACTGCTGTGAGCTCCTTCTTGGTTCCCAGCGGGCAGTGGGGCTTTGCCCTCCCGGAGCTGCCCTTGCAGGCTGCCAGCTGGGCTCCAGGGCTCCAGCAACACACAGTAGGGAGCGGGCACTGCCGAGCCCCCAGCGGGCCACCCCTTGTGCCCCAGCATGAGTCATCGCAGCACCAGCAGCCTGGAGGACAAGGCAGAAAGGACCGTGCCCTGGGGTGAGCGGGTCCGAGGCCCGGAGCCCTGGTTGCGGGACGCCAGGAGCCTCCCTCGCCTCCATGCCCACTTGCGCCCCTCATTCCTCACCAGGCGCTGAGCTCAACTTTGAGAGGCGCATTTGCACCTTCAGGCCCCAGGCAGAGGAGGACAGCTGCAGGCTGGTGCTTAGCGCGGTGGGTGCCCGCCTGAGGACGCTGCTCCCAACTGGAAACCTTGGCTCCCCCACGTGTCCTCGGGGTGACGAGGCGCCCCTGTCAACCCCTCACAGATTTGTCTGGGGGAGAAAGCCAAGGAGGAGGTGAACCGCGTGGAGATCGTGCCCTCGGCAACGCCAGAGGACAAGAGGCCGCAGACCATCACCATCGCCACGCTGAAGCTCTCGGTGCTGCCCATGGTGAGCGCCCCGCGGTGTCCAGCCTCGCCCTCGGCCTCGGGGCGGGCTGGACACGAGGGCAGCGGTTTCGAGCTGCAGAGGTCCAGCCTTGCTGGGCCGAGCCCTGCGACCTCTTTTGTAAACTTAGTTTTAAACCTGGCGCTGCTAGCATTAGGGACCCTGCTGATGATTTAGGCGTTGGTCAGGTACCCAAAAGTCTTTGTTTACAATCATTCATCTTGGAATTCATCAGAGAGGCTGAGGGAATCGCACTAGCCTGGGAAAGTCCCAAACTGAAAAATTCAGTATGGCTTTCGCACCATGCGAAAGTTTTAGATAACTGCGATAGTGATTGAGAAACTTCCTTCCTGATTCTTTTATTATTTTTTCTTTTTTTCTTTCCCAATATTGGAAATTGAGCCTACGACCTAATACTCGAGTTACTACCCAGTCCTTTCTTTTTTTAATTGTACTTTGACACGGTCTCATTAAATTACCCAGGCTAGGCTCAAATTTGCCATCCTCTTGCTTCAGGCTCCCAGTATTGCAATTAGACGTGCACCACCACACCCAGCTCCTTCCTGATTTTTCACATACAAAAAAATGAATGTCTAGTATGTCTCTCTTAAATATGAAATGTTTGCCGGATACCTTCTGTGAGGTTAAGAATGCCCCTGTGTGGGGTTGGGGATTTAGCTCAGCGGCATAAGCACCTTCCTTACAAGCAGGCAGTCCTGAGTTCAATCCCTGGTACCGATAAAAGGAAAAAGACAAAAAAAAAAAAAAAAAAAAAAAAAAAAAGAATGCCTCTGTGTGACCCTACTCTGCTTTATAAAAACCTTTCTTTTTTATCATGAATAGTGGCTAAACTTTATCGAATGCTTATTTTGGTGCTGGGGATCAAACGCACAGCCAGACACTTGCCAGGCAGGTGCTTGTGCCAGTGAGTGAAATCCCAGACCCTAATATGGTAAAATATATAGTATTTTAATCTCTTTCATTCCTGGGATAAGCACTACTCGATCATATAAATTTACATTGTTTGCCTCTTCGATTGAGGCTTTGCTGTTTTTATTGCTGTCCTCTTTCCTCAGTGAGGTTGGCCCTAGAGGCTGAGGGTGGAAGCACAGGAGCCTCGTGACCGAGGATGGAGATTCTCTCCTTGTTTCCTGGAACAGTGACTGTAGACCAGGCCGGGCTGTCCTGGAGCTGGAAGAGCCGCCCTTGACAGTGCCCTCATACCTACCTTCTTTGTCTGTCCACACTTCATTGCGTTCCAGTGCTTTGAAAGCCCTCCATACAAATGAGGGCTCATGGCCAGGTGTGGTGGTGCGCACCTATAATCCCAGCACTCAGGAGGCTAAGGCAGGAGGCTTGCTGGGAGTTTGGGGCCAGCCTGAACTACATAGCAAGACCTTATTTAAAAAAAAAAAATCTGCAGGCTGTGAAATTTGATTCTGTAAATACAGCCTCTGTCTTGAGCTTCAGGCCTCTGTCTAATTCGGTATATCGTAGCCTTCCTACACATGCCTAAATCCAAATTCTTGTTTTTTACCTGCAAACCACCCCCCATCCTTTCCCAGTAAAGAGGGCTTTTTCTTCCAATTAGGACAAAAATGTCTCCCATTCTTATCTCTCAGCAAATCCAGCTGGTGCAATCAAATGTCACCTGCAACCCAGCTGCACCCTGGTCCCCGGAACCCTGGCCTCCTACCTCATAGTACCCGGCTGCCTTCCAGACCTCAGTGCTTGCTGCTCCTCCCCCTTAACCCCGCTGAAACACCCTGGTTTCCGTAACTCCACACACATCCCATCCTCTGAGCTTTAGGTTTCCATCTCCAGTGTCGGGACTGCTTGTCCCCTGAGCCTCCCCATGGCTTCCCTTCCTGCTGGAACTCTGCCCGGGTTCCAGTGTCACCGGACAGCTCTTCCGAATTCCTCCTACCCACAGTCACTTCGCCCCCTACCCCCACCCCGCTCGCATGGGATCCATCATCACCAGCTCAGTCCCTGGCAGTGCCTGGTCTTTGTCCTGCGTTGCAGTGACGCCTCTGTAATTAATAGTGCCTGTCCTGCGACAGGAACTCTGCGCGACCAACGTGCAGTTAAATGAAGGATGTGAGGTTAGTAGATTCATAAAGTATAGCAGTTTTTCCTTTGGTTTTTTTGAGTCAGCATCTCACTCTGTAGCCCAGGCTGGCCTCAAACTCACAGCCTTCCTGCTGTCACAGTCCCCAAAGTGGGGGCATCACAGGCACAGGGGTGGGATCACTCTAGTTTTGTCTTTTTTAAGAATTTCTAGCCAGAGATTTGCTCATTGGCATAAGCACCTACCTGGCAAGTGTGAGGTTGAGAATTCGATCCCTGGTACCAAAAAATTTTTTTTTCTCTTATATAAAACCATACAGTATGTGGTCTGTTTTTTCACTTAACATAATTGAGATTTGTCCATGTGAATAAAACTATAAAGTGTTCCTTTTTTATGTTAGAATAGTATTCCACACTATAGACCCACATCCCTGGTAATGCACATCTACTAGCTTCCGAGTTTAAACTGTTGTACAGGAAGCCACAGTGAACATCCATGCGTCAGTCTGCATGTTGATACTTTTTTCCTGGTCTCACTGCTAGGCATGGAACTGCTGAGCCACGCAGTAAGCACGCACTGGGCTCCATACTAAGTACTTTCATGCCCTTCAGCAGGGTTTGAGAATCCCATTGCTCCCTGACCTCACACCTCCTCTCCACTCATTCTGTGTGGGCCATTTGTGTATCTTTAGAGAACTGTCAATTCAAAGCGTTGCTCTTTGGATTAATTCAAAGGTTTTCTCTCATTGGTTGAATTACTTTAATATTTGTCTCTCTTCTGCTGAGCTGTCAGAGCTCTTTATCTAGGCTACATACAAGTCCCTAATCATGTGATTTGCAATAATTCTCCCATTATGTAAGTTCTCTTTTTACTTTTCAAAAAAAATTTTTTTTTATCTTTTTGGTACCAGGGATCAAATTCATGACTTCACACATGCCAGGCAGGCACTTGTGCTGCTGAGCTGAATCCCCAGCCCCCTCTTTTTACTTTCCTGATAATATTCGCAGCACAAAAGTTTGGGGGATTTTGTTTGGTTTTATTTGTCTGACTTGGTTTGATATATTTCCATACTGAACGAGTCCAAAGCCTCAAACAAGGCAAGCTACTAAGCTATATCCCCAACCCTTTATTTGAAAACAAGGTATTGGTAAATTGCCCAGATTGGCCTTGGTCTTGGGCATCCTCCTGGCTCAGCCTCCTAAGTAACTGAGATAATAGGTGTGTGCCACCACTCCTAGCTAAAGGTTTTTAATTTTGGTGTAGTCCACTTAATATTTGTCTTGTTGCTTGTGCTTTTGGCATCAAAGCAAACTGTTGCTGTGTAATATAAGGTCACAAAGACTTGATCCTACATTTTCTTCTAGGAGTTTTATAATTCTTACATTTAAATTTATGATCCATTTTGAGTTAATTTTTGTGTATGCTCTGCTATTTTGCTGGGCTTGGTGGCATATACCTGAAATTCCAGCATTCAAGAGGCTGAGGCAGGAGGATTATCTTCAATTTGAGGCCAGCCAATGGTACATAGTAAGACCCTGTGTCAAAAACCAAACCAGAAAATTGTTTTGAAATTTAATTTTCTAATTGTTCATTGCTAGTATTTACCTATAGTATTGTCTTTATATCATATGACCTTTTAAACGTACATTTCTATTGATTTCTTCAACTTTTTTTTTTTTTTTTGTCTTTTTGAGACAGGTCTCACTGTGCAGTTCAGGCTGGCCTTGAGCTCTCTTTGTAGCCTAGGCTGGTCTCAAACTCACAACAATCCTCCTGCCTCAGCCTCCCGAGTGCTGGGATTACAGGCGTGAGCCACCACAACCTGCTCCAACATTTTTTTTTTTTTTTTTGGTACCAGGAATTGAACTCAGGATCTTGTGCTTTCCAGGCACTGAGCTAAACTCTTGGCCTGATTCCTTCAACTTCTATATATGGATGTGTGTCATCCGTGAAAACTTTACAGAATGCTTTTTCCTTCTAATCTAGAACAAAGCAAAGATAGTCTCTTCTCACTTTTATTTGAAATTATAATTGATGCCCTACAACTGTGTGTTTTCTAATATTCTTTTTTTTTGTTGTTTTTTTTGTCTTTTTCCTTTTTATCGGTACCGGAGATCAAACTCACGACTGCCTGCTTACAAGGCAGGCGCTTATGCCAGTGAGCTAAATCCCCAGCCCCATCTAAGATTCTTTAATTGACCTCAAGTATAATTCCATTATGGTCTCAAAATATATATATAAATATGACTGGGGATGTAGCTCAGTGCAAATAATTTATATATGAGACAGTCTCACTGTGTAGCCCAGACTGGCCTCAAACTCTCAGCAATTCTCCTGTCTCAGCCTAGCCAGTGCTGGGAGTACAGGCATGTACCACCATGCCTGGCAGATTCTTATAATATGTTTCATGTATGCTTATTTTTAGTTGAAATTTTAAAATGCACAGATAATCCCCAACTTAGAATGCTTCAACTTTGAACTTTTTTACTTTACAATGTGGTGAGAAAGTGCCCATTCAGGAGAAACAAAACTCTGAGTAGATCTATTTTATTTGGGTTTGGTTTGCTGAGACAGGGTCTCACTGTGACACTCAGGCTGACACTGAAGTCGCTGTGTAAGCCAGGCTGTTGTTGATGTCCAGGGTTCCTCCTTGCCTGCCTCCGGAGTGTACCCCACACCGAGTCTGACAGGTGTGTGTGGACCTCTTCTTTCTGTTCTCCAGGTCTAGGCGCCTGCATGTGTTTTCCATCTCTCTGCCTTGGGCTAATAATTTCTTACAGCTCTGCTCTAAGTCCCCCCCTCCCTCCTTTGGTACCGGAAATTGAACTCGGGACCTTAGGCTTGCCAGGCATGCATTAAGCCACTGAGCTAAATCCCTAGCCCACACTCTGCTGACTTATTCTGCTTTTGACCATTTTGTTCAGTTTATTTCCACACTTCTGTTCATGGATAGGACACCGCATTTGCTTCTTTTCAGTTTCCATACTTTTCTCTCCTGCTTTGATTCCTTTTTTTTTTTTTTTTACTCATTACTTGAGACTGAATCCAGAGCCTTCACACTGAGCTACATCCCAGTCTTATTTGTTTATTTACTGAGACAGAGTTTTACTGAACAGCTAAATTTCCTATACTGGGCTCAAATCTGTGATCCTCCTGCCTCGCCTCCCATAGTGCTGGAAATACAAGTATGCACTGCCACACCCAGCTCCATCTTTCTATTTGGCTGGTCGTAGCCCAGTGCACCTGTGATGTCTTTGATTCCCTTATCTACAGCTGTGCTGTTTCTTTCTGCCAGTCTAGTCAGTCGCTCAGGCTCTTTGTCATTCTGCACGATAAGTGCATCTTCAAGGTGCTGGGGTTGCTGCACTATCCCACCAGCATGGCTTCACGTCTGTGTCACTGTCTGCTCCAGCCTGGGGTTTCACGGCATCTGCTAACTTGGCAGCCCCGGGTGAAGTCAGACCTCATGAGACTGAGAGTTAAGCTCCAAGACCCTGTGCTTCTCACCGGTCCTCGTGGTTGCCCTTCAAAATGGCTAAATGTGTGGCTGTGTTTTTGTTTGGTGCACATCGGTGTGGAGTCTTTTAGTTCCAATTCTCGACACTTTGAGGAGCCTGGCTCTCACTTGAGCGATTTGTTGTTGTATTTTTGAGACGGGGTTTCACAATGCAGTCCAGGCTGACTTGGAACTCGTTTTGTAGCACAGGCTGGCCTCAAACACTCAGTGATCCTCCTGCCTCAGCCTCCCGAGTGCTAAGATTACAGGCGTGAGCCACCATGCCCAGCTGAATTTTTGTATGTAGTCCAGGCTGGCCTCGAACTCAGTTTCCTTTTTAAAAATTTTGAGTACATGTTTGCAGTGCACTGCATTCACATTCATCTTAGGGAGCAGATACCTGTGCTAACCCATCTTGGTTCTTTTCTCTTCTATTCCCCCTTCCTCCTTCCTCCGTCTCTAGATCCCCTTCCGTTTCCAAATGATCTATCTCTGTGTTCTATGACCTATCTTTTATTTTGTTTCTGGAAATGATCTCTTCTCACATCCCCTCACCCACTAGGGATTCTTGAGTGTTGGATAAAACTCCCAACGGCACCATGATCAGGATGCTGGCACCAGTCCTGGTGTCCCTTACCTGGCAGCCACAATGGTCTTGGCTCAGCTGCCCTCACATGGGGAGACTCAGGCATGTAACACCCAAGGCCTGAGCTGTGGGGAGCCCTCCCCCCAGGGCTGCCGCACCAGTGCACAAGGCTCCGACCTTGCCACCCCCTTCCAGTGGGAGCCGGAAGTTGTTTGTTAATAGCGCTAAAGCTCTAGGGCTTTCTCCCTAGTCATGGGCATCTTATGGTCAGGCGTGGCTTTTTAAAATTTAAAAAGACCTGGGAATATAGTTCTGTGTGAAGGCCCTGGGGTTCAATCCCATTACTGGGCCAAAAAGAAAGAAAAAGCATTTAAAGCCCTTAATATGGTATCTGGTATGTAGCGATGCTCAAAAAGTATAAATTAGTGCCCTTATTCTAGAAATCTGTGCCAGGACATGGCAGTATATTTCTTTAGTCCTAGCAACTTGGGAGGTGGAGGCAGGAGGATGACTTGAGCCTAGGAGTTTAAGAACAGCCTGAACAATACAGTGAGACCTAAATCTCGAAAGACAAAAGTAGGGCTGAGTATGGTGATGCATGCCTGTAATCCCAGCATTTGGGAGGCTGAGGCAAGAGGATTGCTGTGAATTTAAGGCCAGCCTGAATACACAGTGAGACCCTGACTCAAAAGAAAAAGAAAAAATTGGGGCCGGGGATATAGCTCAGAGGCTTAAGTCCCTGCCTAGCAAGCACAAGGTCCTGAGTTTGATTCCTGGTTTAAAAAAAAAAAAATTAGAAAGCTTGGGAGAGTATAAAGGCAGTAATATACTCCTGTCCTCTGACAGCTATTATGCATTACTGTGTTCCTAAACCTGCCCCCTCTGCAGGACGGAGTCACGCCATATGCACTGCTTCACTTCGCTTTCCCATTTGACCAGTGAGTGTCTCAGCTGGCGCATCTGCCGTAACAAAAGCTCCAGACCGCAGCTCCTAGAACCCATGTTCATACTTTCAGTTTGGGGGTCAGAAGTCTAAGATCAGGGTGCTGGCAGATGGGCTCTGGGGAGGGCTTTTGCCTTTATAGATGGTCCTCGTCTCCTTAATCTGAGACTTGGACAGAGGGATGTCTCTGGTGTCCCTTCTTATAAGGACATTAATCTGCTAGGTGAAATGGTACACACCTGGAATCCCAGCACTCAGGAGGCTGAGGCAGGAGGAGTTTTAGGCCAGATTGGGCTATATAGCAAAACGCTGTCTCAACAACAACAACGATAATGCCATCCTGAGCCCCAGCCACGACCTCATTTAACCCTGATATCCTCCCAAAGTGCCCATATGTAGTGTCATTGCGTTGGGGGCGGGGTGAAGTCAGGCTGCACCCCAGAGAACCGGAGGATGGGGCTTTGCCCACACTGCCTCAGTAGGAGGGCATGGACTACGGGTGCCTGCGATACATTCTGGCCAGCTGAGTCCCCTGTGTCCCTACCCTCCTGCGCAGGTGGCCATGGCCGGTATCTCGCTTTCTCCCCCGGTCACCTTCCAGCTGCGGGCCGGCTCGGGGCCCGTGTTCCTCAGCGGCCAGGAATGTCATTATGGTGAGTGCTGACCGGAGCCGGGAGCAGGGCCACCCTGAGGACTCGGGCACTGAGGGACGAAACCCCAATGGCGACTCCACTGCTGGTAGCCTGAGGTCCTGGGGCCTCAGCTGGGCTGGCCTTGGCGCCATCGTCAGGAGTAGATGTAGGGACAAATGGGGGACTCACGAAGGGCACTTAGCGCAGCCCCTAGTACTCAGTGCCTACAAGCCAGCTGGCAGTAACTGTAAAGCAACAGAAGAGAGTGGACCCTGGCTACTTTCCTCCGTCTTGCCCTCCGCCTCCAGCACCAACCCCTGGGCTCCCAGATCCGCGCCCCCTGCTGGCAGGTGGCAGGGAAACACTTTCCACCCCATGTGGGGTCCTCAACCCGGAAACACAGGGGTCCAGAATAGGAGGGAAGCGCTGAGTTTGGAGCTCAGTTTGGAGCTCGGTTCTCCCCGCCTTTGCCCTCGCTGGTGCTGCTGCAGGATCCTCAGACTTGTGGCAGGAGGAGGAAGAGGGAGAAGAGGAGGAGGAAGACGATGACGACGAAGAAGAGGATGAAGAGACGGATGTGTCTATAGAGGACACACCCTCCAAACTAGTCAAAAGGCTGGTGCCGCAGAAGCAGACCAGCGTGGCCAAGGTGGGGACAGGAACAGGTCTGCTTTAAGGGCCCGGGCCGCTACCTGGTGGGGGAGCTGGAGCCTCTGAGCCTGGGCTGGGCTGAGGGATGGACAGGCCAAGGCTACTGCCCCTAAGCCCTGCACCAGGTCCAGCTAGGAGCTGCTGAGTGCAGTTTGGGAATCGGTTATAGCCTAGGCCTCACCCTTCTCCCCTACTAATGCTTGGTGGTTTGGGTTCCCAGAAAAAAAAAGTGGAAAAAGAAGAGGAGGACACAGCAAGGTAACTCTTTCCATCTTTAAAAAAAAAAAAAAGAGCTTTGTTTTGTTCTGTGCTTCCGGGGATTGAACCCAGGAAGCATTGAGCTATATCCCTAGCGCCTTTTGACTTTTTTGTTTTGTTTTCTTTAGAGAGACAGGGTCTTACTATGTAGCCTAGGCCAGCCTCAAACTTCCTGCAATCCTTCTGCCTCAGCCTCCCGAGTGCTTGGGTTACTGTGCGTACACCACCATACATAGCACTGAATTTTTTATTTTGAGACAAGCTAAATTCCCCATACTGGCCTTGAACCTGTGACCCACCTGCCTCAACCTCCAAATTCTGGGTTTTCAGGTGTGTTCCACCACCACACCCAGTGAGATCCACAGTGCTAGAAAGAATAGTAGAGAGATTGCAGCATTGGAGGTTGGCATAACTCTCTTAAAGCATAGAAGTGTTATCTTCAGACCTAATTCAGCTAGGCAATTTCTTCCAAAGAATGAGATGAGGGAGATTACAGTGGTGTCTCAGTTCACAATTCTGGAAAAGATGACTGTGGTTTTGTTCAGCACCTGACATAGAGTTTGCAAACAAAAGCAAATTTTTGCCAGACGTTTTTGTTTGTGAATCAAATTGTTCTGGTATCAAGCTGAGCCCTTTCCCTTGGCCAGGCGCAGTGTTTACTACAAGACCCCCTCGAAAAAGGTGAGCAGGAGCAGGAGGGCGAGGCAGGGCTCTGGGGAGCATGAGGGGTGGGAACAGGAGAAAGGGAGTCCCTTGTTCCCACAGGGCAAATCCTCAGAACGATCTAGGAAGCTGGAGGCCAAGAAGAAAAGTACCAGTGACACTCCATGATCCAGGACAACCTCTTCCTCAGGCCACCTCTCCCACTCCCCACCCCTCTGCCTGAGCCCAAATGTGGCCTGGTGTTATGGCCCCCAGGGTCAGGAGGACCCGCCGAGAAGAGCCCTAGCGGGCTCCGAAGGGCCGCAATAAAATTTGCTTTAATCACGCACTCTCCGTCTCTCCCCTGCAGCCTGCAGGGGGCGCCTGCGAGCCAAGATAGTGGCCACTGGCTCGTCGCCCCGCCCCTCCTCGGCCCTGCCCTCAGTGCCGAGTGTTTCGCTGGCCCAGGGTAGCTGTGGGCTTTCTGCTCCTCTCTCCCTTTGGACAGACCCTGGACTAGAGATGTGGAACTTCCTGGTTATTCGTCCTTCTGCTACCTAGAAAGGGCCTCAGCCCTCGTGCAACTATCCCATGTGCGAGCATCATTGAGACCCCAGTTTACTGTGTTAGGGCACTGACCCCATGTGCCACCCCAGTGCTGGGTAAGGACAAAAGACAAGCGAGACTGGATGGCTGGGCACTAGAGGGCTCCGACATCCCACCCTCTCCAGCGGAGTAGCTTTGGCACCCCCCGTCACCAGTGGGTGACCCTGGCTTGGGCCTGCCTTTCTCCAGTGTACCCATGGCTGGGGTCTAAGTGAGCAGGTGGCTGTTAAGCACCCCCAGGTAAGGGTTCAAAGAGCCCTGAGGTCTTTGGCCTCAGTATGGGAGGGGCGGCACCAGGCTTTGGTCTCCTGGCCAGCTCCCTGGACACCTGGTAGGCAGCTGGCGCTCACTGAGCCTGGCTTCGGCCACAGCCACACAGGGTGGATGAAATCCACCTTAGCACCGAAAGTTCAGTTCCTGTCTGGTGCTTTGGGAAGCAGACCAGGCTCACTTCCTGGTGGGAAGGGCTGTGGGTAAGTGAGGAGGTCTGAGGAGGCCCCTGGAGCAAGCAGCTGACCACCAGGGCCAGGGCAGGCAGAGGACGCTGCTAGGCACAGGAAGAAAGTGCAGAGATCTGAGCAGGAGGAGGGCTAAGGTGATTGCAGTAACAGTTGTTTACCACACCAGGCACCATCCTCAGGCTCTGTCCTTTTATCTCCACAGCAATGCCTTGAGAGCAGTGGTAACAGCCCCATTTCACAAATGAGGAAAACTGAGGCATCAAGAGTTTAAACAATCTGTCCAAAGGTCTCATGAGGAAGGAAGCTGAATAGTCCAACCCTTTTGGGCGGGTGAACCCACCAGGGTCTCACATTAAGCTACATTATCAACTACATGATCAGCCCCTCTGTTATCTTGAGACAGTCTTGCTAAGTCATTAAGTTGCTCAGAATGTGCTCAAAGTGTTGATCTTCCTGCCTCAGCTTCCCAGAGTGCCTGGTTTACAGGTGTTCACCACCATGCCAGCTATGGCCTCAGAGTTCTCACATCTGATCACTCTGCTTTGGTGGGGGAGAGAAGGGCTAGAACACACAGAAGTTTCCTAAACTGAGGGCACAAGTTAGAACAAGGTACACCGGACCACCAAAAGAGAGTCCAGAGGGGCAGCGCAGGCCAGGCAGGTATTCAGCTACTTCGTCCCTAGGCAGGTTCAGAGGCCACGCTCCACAGGTAAACCCTGCTCATCTGATCTTGATCTGCAGGCAGCCAGTAGGGATCAGACAGGTCTGTTGGGCCTATTGCCCTTCCCCTGCACAATCTCTTTGGTGTTTCAACAGGAAAAGGGTGGACTGGGCAGGAGCAGGTGGCAACGAGCCGCAGGTCTGCAGGGGAGCTCAGTGTTTGCAGCAGCTGGTCTGTTTAGAGGAGCTGGTGAGAGACAGCCCCGGCTGGGGGCGTTGAACTTGGCACTAGGGGGTAGGGATTAGCTCCAACAGCCTGGCTACCTCTCACCTGCAGCTTCCCCCAGTAACTGTCTATGAGGCCCTCTCCTCCACCCCTGCCCCAGCTCCCTCAGATCTGGGAAGAAAGTCTGCCAAGGTTGAACCACCTAGATGTCCCCCTTCCCACCCCTTTCCTGTTTCTCCTGGAGTCCGAAAATTGCCAGCCTCCTGGCAGTCTCCATGGCAGCATCAAGAGTAGCATTTTCCTTTTTCTAGGTGAAGGACCTGGGACCAGAGGAGTGAAGGAGTTTGCCACAGGTTACACAGCCTGTATGGATGGAGATCAAGTCTGGAGTGCAGGCAGACAGTGTGCTCAGTGCCACCATGGACACACAGACATTCTCCTGGCTCTCCCAGGAGGACAAAGGCAAAAAGCCAAGAAAGGCAGGTCTGCAGGTGCGGGTAGGAAGGGCCAGGAAGCCAGAGATACTCACACATGAAACGGGCTACCCTGCCATGCCCCAGAGCCCCCTGGCACCAGCCACTGGCAGATCCCCAGGGCCAAGCTTGACTGCTGGCATCTGTTACCATGGAGTGACAGCAGGCGATGCCCTCACCAACAGGAACCAGATGCTCAGGCTCAGAGGCCTTGGGCACTAGTGAGTGCCCCTTTGGTGAATGAACCCCATCCTTTAGCATGGAACCCAGAGTCTGAGCTGTGCCCTCTGACCTGTGGCCCCATCTGACCTTTGGGTGAAGAAGGCTGGGTGGAGATCACCTTTAGCACCCTGCCTGAAAGGTGGTGGGGAGATGCTGTGAAGTCAAAATTTTCTGAAGAAGCAACCTGGAGCGGAATGGAGAAATGGGCTGGGGAAAGCTTTCCCAGAAGGTGCAGAAATTAAAAAGCCGGCATCAAATAGAAGAGGAGGAGGGGAGGAGGGAAGTGGCCAGGAGGCTTAGTGCAAACTGAAAGGTGGGACAGGCTGGTGTATGCTTGGAGACAAGAGGACTCTGCTTTGAGTGACCGGGCACCTGATCTCTCTTACCCAGCTGAACCACTAACCAGCTGTGAGATGTGGGGCAAGTCATGTACCCTCTCTGGGTGTCATCAGCAGAATGAGATGATTGAACCAGATGACAAAGATCTGAGATCCCCTCCAGTCTCCACTTTCTCTAAGTCTGATTCCAAAGCCTTGCACTCCCCCAGTTCTGGGGAAGGGAGCTCACACCATCTGATGCAAACCAGCTCAATCAGCTCACTCTGGTGGAGCTGAAAAATTCCCTGCTGGAGCTGGCCAGAGCCCTGTGGGTCACTGTGTGTGTGTGTGTGTTTGAGTGTGCAGGCAGGGTGGCAGACCACTTTGTGGATTGATGGAGCTTAGGAAGGTGACAGTCTCACCTCCCAGTCCCAGCTGTTAGGTAAGTAAGTCTACATCCGCAAGAGAACTCCAGGGAGTCAGAGCCTAGGCAGGCTCTCCTCAGGGACCCTAAAGCATCCACCCTTCCACCGTTACCCCCATTAGCCACATTTCTGCGCTCAAGAGGACAGAGGAGAGCTGCCCTTCACCAGCTTCTAAGACCTCAGAGTTGTGGCTAAGGAGGACGTAGCCATGATCTGTGCGAAAACCTGCTTACCCCATTCCTGGCTGGCGCATTCTGAGCAAATTATCCACCAATGTGCCTCAGTTTCCTCACCTATAAAGTGATAGCTGGCTCAGTGCAAAGGAGGACTAGAGGTCAAGTTGGGACGCTGGGTATTGCATTCCCGGCAGGGGCCATGGAGTGGGCACAGGGGCCGGAGGGAGTGGGCTGGGGTGGTGAATAGAGATGGGTCAAAGTCCAAATCCTGAGCGTATTACAGATTTTGAACCTGCTAAATGCTGCATCTCTATCCCAGCACTCCGGAGGCTGAGGCAGGAGGAGGATTCCCATGAGCTGGAGGCCAGTGAGCCTCTTGTTTAAAAAAACAAAAGAAAACAAGCCGTATTTCACCCGCCCTCCAGCATGCTGAGGTGCTACGGTCCCTATTATCTGCGGAGACTTCAGGGACTGGGGAAGCTTTTCTCAGGTCTCCTTCCAAGACCCCCAGGTGCATCTTCCTCCCCACCTTGGCCCCAACTTGCTGCACCCATTATGAGCTGCCAAGCAAGGAGGTCTTGCCCCTCCTTCCCGGTGGCAAAGGGTGACAAGAGGCAGCGCCAGCAGCTGCTCAAGCCAAGCCCACCCCTGCCCCCTGGAGGGAAGCTCCTCCTTTTAAGGCTGCTTCTGGGAATACCCACCCTGAGCCAGAACCCTCGACCTGCGACCCCAGCCCTGCTCTTACCTGCGGCTCAGCCTTGCGGAGATGGGGCGCTGAACCTGAGGGTGGGAGCAGCTGACCCTGGAAGGAGGACGGTGCCCTCCTCCCTCCTCTCCTCCTGCCTGCCATACGCCCTACACTGAGGCAGGCAGGTCTGTGTGGGTCAGGGATAAAGCGGGAGCCCTCAGGGACAGCCAGACGCCGAGAGAGCTCCTGCAGCTCCATCCCCAGCACCTAGGCAAGCCTGGTCCGAGGCTAGCAGTCCAGAGAGTGCAAGCAGGAGCCCCCACAAGCCTGGGGTTTGCAGCCTCACTGGCCAGGAAGGTGGACACCTCACACCTCAGTCTCCCAGTTGCGCCCTCCTCTTCTCCTCCCCCAGCTCCTCTCCTTTCTTTCCTCCTTTCCCCCCTGAAAACCTGTGGTTCTGAGAGAGAGACCTTGGCTCCTCTGGGACTCTACCCTCGAGGCCTGCCCGCATCTGCTCCTGAATTTGGGGGCAGTGGGCAACCACCTCAAGAAGTCTCTCCAGCGATGGGAGCCGCCCGCCTGCTGCCCAACCTCACGGTGTAAGTGTCCCACCTCTCAGGGAGCTTGGCCGCAAGTCTGGTCCTGGGGAAGCCCTGCTGGCAGGTGTGGGAGGTGCCCCTGGGCTGGCCTCAGGCACCCACACCCTGGACTGCTTCCTCTCCCCAAACAGGTGCCTGCAGCTGTTGATTCTCTGCTGTCAGACGCAGGTAGGCGCCCCCTACCCGCCCCCCAGCTTCTCCCTATTTTTCCCTGGGAGGGAAGATAGGTGGATGCTGGATTCCCTGAGTTTGCGGGTTGCCTTTGCGGGGCTGGGCGGTGAGGGGCTAGGGCAGGCAGGCTGGCCTCCCTCTGACCACCCTCCCTGTTACTACCTCCATCCTGGGCACAGAGCTTCTGCAGGCAAAATCAGGCCAGCGCTCCAGACCTGGAGCAGCTGGAAGTGGGTGGAGGTGACAGCCAGGTGAGGCTGGTGCCCAGGAGTACCAGAAAGCCATTTGTATGGTCCACTCACCACCTGCGTGGGCAGCAAGAGGGCACAATTGGGATCACCGGACAGGGTGAGGTGACTCCTTACCTATAGGGCAAGGAGGTCAAGACCAAAGAGGTCTGTTTGGGACTGATCCAGGGTTTGCTTTTCTGCACTCCCCCAACACCCCCCTCCCCATGCACACCTCCCATCCCCAAGCCTCAGCGCCCTGGGTGAGGAGGCTCGGTCCTTTTTTTTTGTGATACTCCATAAAAGTGTAGCTATTAAAATGCACTGGTCCAGAACCGCTCTGGGGAGAAATCGCCTGGCTTTCCCAGGCCAGAGGCCTTCTCTTCCTATCCAGTGGGGACTTTTTTTTAAGGTAAATGCCTTTTCTCTGGGAGAGGGAAAGGGTTGCCTTTGAAGCAGTGGGGGGGTGGGAGAGAGAGACAACCCCCCCTTTTCCTTCCCCCTTTTGCTCTAGCCCCGTTCCAGCCCTTTTGCTTCACACATCCAGGGAGAGCAAGAAGAAAGCCCCCAGCCTGGCTGGGAGGGGGCTGGGGGTGGGCCCAACCTGTTCTGGAAGGGGAATTAGCACAATGGTGCGGCTGGCCGGCTGGCCGGGGCGTTTATGGCCCGGCTGAGGCCCCATTCAGGACTTGGGGAAGGTGGCAAGGCTGTCCTTTCCCCCTTGAAGTGCCCCCTCACTCCCTGGGCGGGGCGCGGGGGGGTAGCAGGCTGAACCACAGCCATGCTTGAGGGGCCTTCTGACAAGCAGCTGTCTGCAGTGGTGGAAGGGGAGGTCCCCCCGCGGCGGGGACATGAAAGGCACAGGCAAGGTCCCTCGGGGAGAGGGACTTGTGGATTGTGGGCTATGGGGGGGCGTGGGCTGCTTTTGTGAAAAGCTTGAAGGGGGACTAGGAGAGGAGGGGGTTTCGGGGGCCCTCTCTGCCCTGACCTGGAGTAGATTGCCAGGAGGGAGCTGTCCGCCAAGAGGGGTGGAGGGCCTGAACCTGGGCCAGGAGGCTTTGGGCTGGGACAGACAGGTCCCCAACCCCAGCAGGGAGGCCATGGAGGGGCAGCCAGGCAGGTACTCTGCCCCAAATGCTCACCTCAGACTTTCCCAAGGCGGAGTGCACGGTGGATACCAAAGGCATTGCCTTCCTGGGGTCCCAGCAACACCCCTGGGTTTTGGGGACTGGTGCTGGCACTGAACAGTGCCACTGGGCAGATTGAACCTTCCTGCCTTTTTTGCCTGCCTCTCCCCCAAAATGAAGCTTCCTAGCCGCCTCTCTTGGACAGAGTACCTCTTAAGAGATGCCTCGCTGGGTCTACTCTGTCCAGATGGTTGAGATGGAGCCTGGGATAAAGGTGGCATTAAGGACTGGGGGACAGGGTGTCCACACACAAACCAGCAGGATCTAGGTGGAGAGAAACATAAATGAAGTCCATTTGTGAGCTAGAGCTGACAACATGGCCAACAGCTGGGAACCATCATCTTGGGGGGCAGTCTGCAGCAGCCACCTTGTGGGAGACAGAACAGAAGGACTTCATTTCTCCCACTGCTCAGTGTTAGCAAGTGAAGGGAGACCCAAGGGAAACCATGCTGATCCTGGCATACTACAGGGTGGAAATGGTGAAAAACAGGAGACGCAGTGCAAGAGGACATCCCCAAATGGACAAAGTCACTGTGACACAGGCCAGCAGGTGGCTCTGAGACTCAGCAGTCTTGGGGCCTGGCTGACAGCACCTCTGACCACCGCATACACCTCCCTCCCTATGGAAGGGGGGCGGTCTGGGAAGGAGCTCTGCTTCGCTGAGGTCCTGGGTACCCCAGGCATGAGGCAGGGAGGACTGAAAAGGAAGACTTACAGGGGCTTACCGAACCTAAGAGACCCCAAAATGTCCTCCAGTGACCCCAGCTCAAAGCTCGCAGCAGACCATCTGCTGTGTGCACCTGAGCTGGGGCTGAGGACTTTCAGAGCCAGGGAGAGGACGGGAGAGGTTTGTCATCCTAGCTGACGGTGACTCCCAGCACCCCAGAAGTAGAGAAAAGGGTTCTGGCCCTGGTAAGCTGTGTCCCTCCACAGAGCACAGGGATGGGACACTACAACCTTGAAGGTCCCTTTCTGCCCCCTGAGAAATTATTCCAAGTCTTATTGTGTCCCCAAAGCAGACACAGAATGGACACAGCAGCCTGGAGGGATCTGGCCAGATGCCACTTCCCCTTGCACCCTCTGCTCTGCAGGATGAGTGGCCTGTGCCCACTGCACTTACCTCCTCCCCTCTCCCCCAATGGACCAGCCATGGTGTCCCCAAAGCAAATTGACACTATTTTTCCCTTGGTAACCGCAAAGGGGGAGAATCACCCGTCTCCTAATTTTAACCAGTACGTGAGGGACCAGGGTGCCATGACCGACCAGCTGAGCAGGCGGCAGATCCGCGAGTACCAGCTTTACAGCCGAACCAGTGGCAAGCACGTGCAGGTCACCGGGCGTCGCATCTCTGCCACCGCTGAAGATGGCAACAAGTTTGGTGAGACCTGGCCCTCTCCCCTGGCTACTCTGGACCAAACCCAGATCCCTAGGCAGTGAGAGGGAGCAAGGAGGGTTCCCAAGGGCCTATGTGCTGGGAACTGACAGTTCCCGTTCCTCTAACCTGAGCCTGGAGGTCGGACTTGCTGGGGGTCCCGGCTGCACCCTGGACAGACAGAGGTCCTTCCTTTTCTTCACAGCCAAGCTCATAGTGGAGACGGACACATTCGGCAGCCGGGTACGCATCAAGGGGGCTGAGAGCGAGAAGTACATCTGTATGAACAAGAAGGGCAAGCTCATCGGGAAGGTGAGCCCAGGGCCAAGGAGGCCACCAGGCAGCAACGGGGTGTCTAGCGGGGTGGGGCCAGCAGGTCCTCAACACATCCACTCTGCTGAGCCCAGGGGTTCCCATGGGGCTAGGACTTCTTACTCTCTTCCCTGGCCTCACTTTCCTTTAAACAGGTAGGAAGTCTAGCACCTAAGAGATGTTGCAGGCCCTATTGAAGAGGGCTAAGGACTAACTAGATTGAAAGCTGGTACAGCAATGCCTGCCTGCAATCCTAGCTATTCCAGTGGTAGAGCAGGAAGATTGAAAGTTCCAGTCCAGCCTAAGCAACTTAGCAAGACGCTGTCTCAAAAATTTAAAAAATCTCCTGTAGCTAGCTGTATGAGGCCTGGGTTCACTCTCCAGCCAGTACAACACACACCCACAGGCATGCACACAGGCACACATGCACCCTGGGAAATCCCACTCCGAGTGCCATGTGGCCTGTGGACTCCAGCTGACAAGATATACTCCAAAGTACCTGCTGTGGACCCTCCACTGGGCAACACCCCTCGCCTAATGCTTGTATATACCAGGTATATGCCCTGGCTGTGCACTGAGACATGCATTACCTGCGTCTCAGGAAACAGGCTCAGTGGTCCCATACCTTATTTAAGTGACAGCTGCCAAATGCCAAGACTGTATGTAGGCTTGTCAAAGCTCACTTTTCCCACTGCTGCCTCATTTACAATGACATCCCTGTTCCCCAGGCAGCTCTTCAGCGCTCACTGACTCCATTGGCCTGTGCTGGGTCCTACAAAATAGGCCCAAAGCCAGAAAGCTCAGACAGGTGGACAAACTCCCCTCCTCTCCTCCCTTCTCTCCCAGCCCAGCGGGAAGAGCAAGGATTGCGTGTTCACTGAGATAGTGCTGGAGAACAACTACACGGCCTTCCAGAATGCCCGGCATGAGGGCTGGTTCATGGCCTTCACACGGCAGGGCCGGCCCCGCCAGGCCTCCCGCAGCCGCCAGAACCAGCGCGAGGCCCACTTCATCAAGCGCCTCTACCAGGGCCAGCTGCCCTTCCCCAACCACGCAGAGAGGCAGAAGCAGTTCGAGTTTGTGGGCTCAGCCCCCACCCGCAGGACCAAGCGCACTCGGGGGCCCCAGCCCCTCACGTAGAGGCCAGTTGCCTTCCCAGCCCTTCCCTTCCTGATCCAAAGACTGGGCTGGGGTGGAGGGAGGGGAGCCAGACGCCCCCATCCAAAGACCCTGAGAATATGACGCACCAGAGCCCCAGCTGGTAAGAGATAGGACCACTGCGCCTTGGGTCCGGGCACTGCACACTGGAATAGGCAGACCCCTTCCTGCTGGTCAGGGGCCAGGAGTCCGAGTCACCCTGATCTCAAATGCCAGCCTCCCTCTCAGCCACTGGCCCTTGCAGACACCATATACAGGTGACTGTCCTCAAATCTCCCTCAGCCTGTCCTCAGCCCCCAAATTACTCCCGGACAGATACATACTAGGGACTTTTGGTTTTGTTTAAAAAAGGGGGGGGGGGCCTGGCCATTCCACGACCCAGGCCTGCACCCCCAACTCCAAATAAAACCATTTTCCTGAAAATGGGGTTATCTGAAGCTGGGTGGGCGACTGGCACCCGAAGTTGAAAACAAAATTGCGGGTGCAAGGGGCTCTGGGAAGCGCTGCGCGCGGGCTGTGGGCAACGGAGGCGCCCCGGGCATGGCGGGGCCCCAGGTGCAAGGACGAGGCCCTGGCGTCCCGAGCGCCCCGAACAGGGCGGCAGGTGGGGCGGGCCCAGGCCCCTCCCTCCGCGGGCGCCGCGTTCTCGCCCGCCAGACGCGTCCAGTGCCACCTGTTGGGGCGCAAGGGACCCGATCCCCGGCCGGAGGCGGGCAGGAGGCCGCGGGGCTGCAGGAACAGGGCCCGACGGCCCGCAGGCGCCCGTAGCCTCCTCGTGGGGAGCTGGATTGCTTTTTTCCGGTGAGGAGGGCCGGGCGGGGGAGGAGGCCCGGGCGAGCGGAAGGGGGAATGGGGCCGAGAATGCGTCCTCTTGTTCTCTCGGTCCCCGTTGGGGGCGGGGGCGGGGGCCACACCCGAAGGCAGAGCGCAATTAGAGGCGGCGGCGGCCGCCGGCCGGATTGTAGCGCAGGGGAGGGGGAGGGGCGCCCCGTGGCGCGTCTCCGGTGGGCTTTGCCAGGGGCTCCAGGTGCGCCCCGGGCCGGGACGCCAGGCCATAGAGTCCGTCTGCTTTCCCTGTGCGTTGGCTTTTCATCTCACCCCGAGAGGCCCTTCCTGACCGGGACACCCCACCCCAACACATACGCGCACCTTTCCTTCTGCTGATGACGCCACTACCCAGCCTCGGTTTCCCCTCTCGCATCTCCTGTTCCTGAGAAAGCGCGGCGGAGTAGAGGCGGGTTTGGGAGAGACAGAAAAAAACCGTAAAAGTCAACCCTTCCTCTCACTTCTAAGAACGGCCTAAAACTAGAGGGAAGTTGTGGAAGGGCTGGCTGGAGCTAAAGGGGAGGTGAGCAGCGGCGGTCGAAGCGGACGATGACCCCAGCCCTGGGCCCTTTAGAGGGTGGGGATTGCGGCCGCCAAGAGGGAGGTCCCTGAGGCTGCAGGACAGACATTCCCCCTCCAGCCGGTCATAATTGCTTTTCACCAGGTTGCTTTTTTTCTCTCCCCCCCATCACAAAGGACCTTAATCCTGGGGAAGACCGCAGGACGCGTTGGGGGTAGTTTTCTGGGGAGGGGGGTTGTGGAGGGCGGGTGGTCTGGAACCGCAGCTGATAACTGGTGAGTTCAATGGGACTTTAAAACTGGGGCAACACCCAGCAATTACTTGAGGACAAAGGCTTGGGTCCCCCCAGGTGTGGAAAACTGGACTTTGGGGGGTTGGGGGAGGAGGCTGGGAAGGAGGTGTGCTGCTGGAGGGGGTGTCTTACAATCCCTCTGATTTCCGCAGGAATTTGAGACATTCTTTAAGACTGGACGGCTGGGGGGGGGGAGGCTGGGCCTCAGCCCACCCCCCAACCCCCCCTCTCTCGGTCGGGTTAGAGACGGCTTCAAAGGTGGACGGGGCCTTTGTCTTGCCTCGCTTTCTTCTGGGCCTTTCTTCGGCCCCTCCCTCCCTCTCTTTGACCGCCCCAGCACAGACAGGTCTCTGGGGGCCGGCTCCAGAAAGCCCGCACTGTTCCAGTCCTTGCTTTTTGAGGTGAGACCTGGCCGGCTGGGTGAGGGAGGGCAGCTTCAGAGGCCTGCGTGGCTCAGGGTGCCTTCTCCTGCACCACAGCAGAGCCCCGGTAGCTGACGCCTGTCCTGGCCTGGGTTGCCTAGGTTCGGTACCTGCTCCTACCACACATAGGTGCCAGGTTCCTGCCCTTTCATGTCCTAGGGAAGTCTGCCCAGCTCATTCCTTCCAAACCCAGGTGACCTAGAGGGAAGAAGCCTGAGGAATAAATCTCTAATAACAGCTTTGGAGGAGCTGAGGTCTTTGTGCGTGCGTGTGTGTGTGTGTGTGTGTGTGTGTGTGTGTGTGTGTGTGTACGGGGCTTCCTTATGGACTGGGACCTGCTCCAGTGACCCTGCTTACTTCCTGTGTCTGAGGTTCTAAGCAGGTGTGAGCTAGGGAGGCTCCAGGAAGCTGATGGTTAGTGGCCCTTGCTTTGGGGGCTAATAGAACCCAAGAGGAGAAAGTGACGAGGCAGAGACATGCCTCAATCCCGTACTCTTCAGCATCACCTAGAGCTCTGTGTAACAACAGCCCAGACTCATCTCTTCCTTCTCTGTCCTGTCCTCCAAATGGTCAGAGGAGACCCCGAGGACCAGAGCTGGGACATCTGTCCATTCATCTCTTTATGGCTATGCAAGCTAGCTCTAGAGTTCCACTCCAGATTTCTGTGGCCAGTGGCATCTAGGTCACCAAGCCTTGCCCAAGTCTTCAGTCTCCTTGTGGGCCCTGCAGGAGGTGACTTCATGGAGAGCCACCCCCACCCCTTTATTTCTTTGTGGTACTGGGGTTGGAATCCAGGGCCTTCACAGTGAGCTGCAATTGTCACCCTTTTTTAGTTTTTTTGTTTTGAGGGAGGGTCTTGCTAAATCATAAGCCGGATTGGAGCTTTGGATCCTCTTGCCCTGGCCTCGCAGAGTGCTGGTATTGCAGGGGACGGCCTCCTCTTCTTGAACTGCTTTGGCCTCTGCCTGCAATAGGCCAGCCCTCCGGGCTCTTCCTTCCTGACTGCTCCTGCAGGGACAAAGCCCTGAGAATTCTCCCGCACTCAGCCTTCACCCATTGCTCCCGCTGCCTTTCCTCCTTCTGCACGCTTGCTGCAGATGGCCCTGGGATCTGTCAGCCTTGGCTTCCTAAGTAGTCTCTGCTGGCTTCATCCCTTCATCCTTCTGGCCTGGCACACAGCTGGCTTCACTGGTCTCCCTGCGGTCCAGCACTGCTCCCCTCAGGGCACCCCGCAAACACCTGGCGTGGGTCCGCCTGTCCACCTCCAGATGTCCACTACCCCTACACAGGGTTGCTGCTCTGGACGGGATGCTGCCCTGCACCCCCTGCAGCCGACCCGCTGGACTCACAGCCTTACCCTGTCCTCTAGGCTTCTGGCTCTTGCCTCATCTTTGCTGTTTCTGGCCCTCCGGCCCTCCTTCATGACATGTCACAACTGTCTAGACTCTTGCTGTTTACCTCTGACACGTGGTTCTGCTGGGTGGCACGGGTCTCTGAGGTAGAAATAGTCAGTCTTTGCCTACGCCATGGCACAGACACATAGGAGAACAATCCAGCCATAACCCCAGAAAGAAGTCTCTACCCAGCACCCTGCTGTCCCTCAAGGTGTAGGGCGGATGAGAATTCTCGAATTTGATTATGTAGAATGTTGTCATAAGCAATTAACTCTAAAAAAAAAATTTTTTTTTTGAGACAAGGTTCATGCTGGCTTGAACTCACAGTGGTCCTCCTGCCTCAGCCTCCTAAGTGCTGGGATTACAGACATGTACCACCATGCCCAGTTGAAATATTTATTTTATTTTATTTTACTTTTTGGTACTGGGGATGGAACTCACAGCCTCACGCTTGCCAGGCATGTGCTTATGCCACTGAGCTAAATCCTTGGCCCTAAATATTTATTTTTTAAAAAGTATTTATTTCTAGCCAAGTGTGCTAGCCCACACCTGTCAGCCCAGCCCAGGAGGCTGAGACAGGAAAATCACCATGAGTCCAAGACTAGAAATAGAGCAAGACCCTATCTCAAAAGCATAAAGAAGCATTTCTTTCCTATAGTGTTCAAGCACTGTTTAGTTAATTAAAAAATAGGCAAGATGGAGTTCTCAAAGCACTTGGACTTTATTTATCTATCTATTTGGTACTGTGGTTTGAACTCATGACAAACTCACCAGGCAGGAAGGAAGCTACACCACTGAGCTAAATCCCCAGCCTTCAAAGCACTTGAACTCTAATTAGAGGATTAGACCTATAAAAAAGGGACCTTTATTGGATTTTCTTCTGTTTTTTTTTTTTTTTTTCTTGTTGTTGTTTGTTTGTTTTCGTACCAGGGATCTAACTCACAACCTTGCACTTGGCAGGCAGATGCTTATGCCACTGAGCTACTCCCCAGCTCTTTCTCTGCTCTTGAAGGTAATAGGTGTTGAATCCAAGGCAGGCACTCTAGCACTGAGGTACACCCTCAGCCCTTTTTATTTTTTTTAGGTAGTGGGGATTGAACTCATGACCTTGTGTTTGCCAAGCAGGTGCTTACATCGCTGAGCTAAACCCCCAGCCCAGCCCAGCCCTTTTTATTTTGAGACAGCATCTCACTAAATTGCCTGGGCTGGTCTGGAACTTGTGATCCTCCTGCCTCAGCTTCCTATATGGCTGGGATTGAAGGCATGGAGCACCATGGTGGGCTCTGTCTTCTCCTTAAAGACAGTGAGGCAGCCTTTGGTACATCCCAGAAGAGTAGGAGAGGAGGCAAGAAAGACTGGAAATCAGGAGCCAGATTGTGTTGAGCTCCGGAGCTGTTCCACGCAGCATGGACCCCAATTTAGGACAGGAAGACGGTTCTCATACGTCACCTAAGGACAGGCTCTCCCTAGGAGATGAGCACAGCCAGCGAGCACTGCCCTCTACCTCCTCCTCTTCAAGGCCTCAAGTGCAGGCCTCTCTGCTCCCTTGCCAGACCCCATGATTGCTGGGGTCAGAGGGTGCAGAGGCAGATGCCTGGGAGGACCCTGGAAAGGCTGGGGTTTGCATGGCCACATGCATCCAACTGGAGGTGAAAGTTTGCAAAGAAGTGGCAGGAAATGGTTAGGTCAAATTATGAAGTTTGGAGTCACATGCAGTGACAAGAGCCTGTAATCTCAGCACATGTGAGGCTGAGGCAGGAGGACCACCGAAAGTGCAGCACCAGCCTGGGCTGGATAGTAAATTCAAGGCCAGTGAGACCTTGGTTCAAAAAACAAAGCAAGGGCTGGAGATACAGCTCAGTGGCACAAGCGTCTGCCTGGCTAAGCATAAGGTTCTAAGTTTGATTCCCAGTACCAAAACAAAACAAGAATTGTGTTTGGCCTTGGTACTCTGTCAAGGAAGGGGCAGTGTAGGCTCTGAGGAATGGCAAATGCATTCTGGTGGTGGCAGCATTCTGGGGGCCCAGGCTTTGGGGTCCTGGAAGCTGAGAGGCCAGTGCCCAGAGGGAAGGGCCTGTGGCTTCCAGTCTCTCAGGAAAAAGGGCCCTTGTCCTTTTCCGTCCTCCTCTGGCCGGACCTTCGGTCATCTCTCCTCCTCCCTCCTGGATGCCCAGGTGCCTGGCTCAGCTCTCTCAGAGTTAATATTTAGACAACATGGGTGGTGGGGGTGCATGGTGCTCCCCTCTCCAGCAAGCTGTCTGTCCATGGGGCGGGGCCAGGGGGCACTGGAGTGAGACAGACAGACTTGGGCAGAGAGGCCTGGGGGAGAGGGCAAGTGGCAGAGTCCACTCAGGACCTCTGGCACCAGTGTCCTCACTGGGGAAAGGAGCCAAGAAGCAGGAGCCTGGGAGCCCGAGTTGCCTGAGAGGGACAGGAGTCCCAGCACCCGGCTGTGGATGCCAGTGCCCAGTCGGAAGTCCTGTGACACCTGGTAAATGATCTGCGGCCCACGCGGTGAGGAGGCTGCAGTAACAGGCCCCTGGGGCAGGGCCTCCTACCTCTGGAGAGATCTGGCCTCTCCTCGACTCTGGCCTTCAGTTCGGCTGCACTGGGGAGCCTGGGGCCTTGCCCAGGGGAGGAAGCAGAAGGCAGGGGCCACCTCCATGGGGCAAAGATAGAGAGGAACAGACAGTGGGCCAGAGGGTAGCACAGGCACACACAAACCAGGGTCCCTTCCAGCCAGAAGTGACCTTGGCAGCTGCCACCCTCAGGTCGACAGAGGGAGCCCTAACTCTGCGGTCCCCCTGGGTCTAGAGGTGGCTGGCCTGAGTCTATTCCTGCCTGGCAGCTGGCTCCGTGGAGAGACATCCCAAGGAGTGCAGGGTTGAGGCCTGGGACCAGCAGGGCCGGAGTCCTGGGGGTTAGGAGAGAGCTTTCCAGTGCTCGAGCTTTTCTCAGGGTGGCAGGAGGGAGGCTGGGTTTGGGTGGAGGAGGAGGTGCCCAAGTCTGGCAGAAGTAGTGGACCCTGTCACTGCCGTGCGTCATCCCAACTGGGGTCATTGCTCCGTTGCTCCGTGGTCTTGTTGCCTTTCCCCAACTGCACACTGGTCTCCTGGGCTGGGGCAGCCCCCAGTATGCTATGTCCCCATTCAAGACCAGCCTGCTGCCTAACCCTAAACTAGGGTTATCCTGAGGCCACCCTGGAGCCAATCCCAGGTCTTATAGAGGCGCTGGGGGAGGAGAGGCTTGGGGGGCACAGTGGGAACCCCAGCACAGCACTGGGAGGCTCTGGAGGCCCCCTCCCTCCATCCCAGAGGAAGAGGTCGGAGGAGCCACTGCTTCCTCCTCCCCCCTCCCTGCGCCACCGCCTCAGCCACCACCGCAGCTCAGCCAGGCCTAGGCTGCCTGCAGGTTGTCTTGGCAACGGGAGGCGGAGAGGAGATGCGCCGAGAGATGGAGGTGGATGTCACCGCAAAGGCTGCTGCGCTCTTGCCCCACGCCCCAGGCCCTTGAAGGTATGAAAACCCTCCCCTCTGCTCCCTCCTCCCAGCCCTCCTTTCCCCGACTCCCCCCACTCTGTCCTACACTGCAGGCCAGGGCAGGTCTGTTCTCTCCCAGCCAGAGACTCCCACTCCGGGGTGCCAGACCCACCTTGTTCCAGACCCCTGTTCACAGCTGTCCTTCCCCGCATCCGCTCATCCCAACCCTGCCTCAAGGAGCCTTTCTGCCAGGGGACAGGAACCCAGGGATGTGCACATGAGGAACCCTAAAGGGCTGAGATGGCAAATCCCCTGCGCTTGGTCCCCGGAGGCATGGAGGGAAATGGCGTGGGTCAGAGCACGGCTGGTCTCTCCTCTCTCTGTTTCTCAGAGCACTGGGGTGGGGTTGAAGGGACCCAGCATGAGATCGGAGGGATGGGCTGGGCCGGGCTGGCTGTGGGGATAGCCAGGCAGCTCCTCCTCCGAGGCCGGGCCTTGGCCGCCTCCTGCGCAGGACAGGTGAACCCCCTCCCACCTCACCACCTGCCTTTTGCTCCGTGGTTTTGGGGACGGATTTTTCTCTCTACCTCCCTGGGGCCCTCCTCCACCCCAGCCAGCAGCTGAGCCTGGATCCTTCACCCTTTTCTCAGCCACTCAGCCACCTGCCTTCCTCATTGCTCCTTCCAGTCAGGAGCCACCTCCAGGTCACTGTCCTCTCTGCTTCCACTTGCCCTGACAGCCCTCCCTCCCTTCCTGTCCCCTCCTGTGCGCATCTCTTGGAGCAAAAGATCCTGGGGCGCACTCTCACCTGTCCCCCACTCGACCCACCCCCAGGGCTTTATGTTCAGATTCCGCAGCATCCCATCCCCAGATTCTAGGTTTTGCTGCTGATACCATCAGCTGATGGGCTGTGGGCAGTGGTTACCAAGGCAACGGCAGGGCTGCCTGGGTAGGCAAGTCTGCTGGTGGTGGAGGTGGACAGAAAGTCAAGCTGGCCAGTGAGGGTCAGGGCCACTGCTAGGCTGTCACCTCCTTCTTCCCAGGGTCACCCCAAGGCCAGCAACAGAGTCCCAGGATGGTCGAGGTTTTGCCCGACACAGGAGGCACAGGAGGCTGTAAATTCAGTCTGGAGCCACCTGGCAGGAAGCTCCTTGTTCCTAGAGCAGTCTTGGGGGGCAGTGGGTCCTTCATTCTTTCTCTGCTGCACCACATTGCTGTTCCCAGGAGATTAAGGTTACTTAAGGGCCAGCCTGAGTCTCGGGGATGAGGACTTGGTGTCTTGCGTCCTCCCACCTGTCCCTTCCTCAGGAGGCTAATGACCCATTGGGGTACCTCCACCTGCACCCCCCACACTGAGAGGCGGAACTCCAGGGGCCTCTGCTGCTGCCTCCAGAGGATGGGGCGCCATGAATGTGGTGGGAGGTGCAGGTGGCTGGAGAGTAATGCGCTGGCCCCCGTGGTTATCAGTAACCGCCACCCCACCCCCCAGCGACTTGAACCTTGGCGGTAGATGAGAGGGCTTCAGGGGCCGTGTGTGAGCGCGAGCGCGCGTGTGCGCGCGTGAGTATTGCAACGCTTGGGTGTGGGAAAGGGTTTTGAAAGGACGGCTTGGCGGATTTTGCTTCGTCATGATGCCGCTTAATGCTCCTCTTGTTTGAGATGGATTGAGCGCGGCCGGCAGCCGCCGAGGTGGAAGGCAGCACATCCAAACACACACGCCCCGTTGCTGCACTATCAGCAGGAGGCGGGAGGGCACGGGAGGGTGTGGGGGCACCGGCGCGGGCACCTACCAGACTCGCCGGGACCCAGGCGGGACCCGAGCGTGTGGCTCGTGGAGCAGCAGGGTGGGGGCGTGGGGGGCCCAGAGGGAAGATCAGCCGGCTCTGCGGAGACCAGCTCCCCTCCTTCGCCAGCTCCCACCCCACCCCACCCACCCCAAACCGGCTTTCTTCCTGTTATTTGTGCTTTGGGAAAGCACGGCTGGTTTCCTGGAAGCGACGCCTCTTACCTAGGCTCCTGTGAAACCGCGGCAGCCAGGGAGCGCCTGGGCCTCACAGGCTGGGAAGAGGTAGGTGGCAGGGTCCCCACCTCTTCTGTCCTTCCCACCAGGGCACTTTGGGCTGCAACCCCTGCCTGGAAGCGAGGCGGGGATGATGGCAGGGTGCCCCAGGGAAGGGTCAGCTCCCAGAGAATGGGCCTGGGACAATGGGTCTCTGGTTTGGAGAAAGAGGGGCTGGGGTGTTCCGGCATGTGAGGTCATGTCACTGCTCCAGCACCCCCTTCCCTGGCCACTACCCTGCCAAAGATAGCCTCATGGGACAGAACCCCAAGTGACAGATCCTGGGCCTCCCCCAGAACCAGGCCAGATGCCCTGAGGCTGGGAGCAGTTCCCTGGCCTGGGACCTGCTCCCAGCTCCTCCTCACTGTTGCGAACTAGACTGGGGCAGGGATGAGGGGGAGAATGAGGCTGGTGGCAGGGCGTGGTTGCAGGCCCAGCCAGGCTCTGGTGCTGGCCGTGGGTGTCCTTGCAGGGCTGGGCACTGGGCAGACACACAGGCCCTCCAGGCCCTGGGTTTCCCTTCCAGCTCTGCCCTCCTGGGGCCTGGCTGGGTGGGTGCCTTTCCAGGACAGGCACACCTGCGTCCCCTTCTCCTGGCACTGGTTGCCAGGTTATGAGAGTCAGGGGACCATGAGGAAGGCAGAGAGTGGTGGGAATGGAGGACCAATGGGGAAGCCCCCAGAGAATGGGGCAGGGGTAGGGGCTCCTTGAGTGTCGCCCATATGCGTGCACAGCTCAGGGGCAGTGTCACACGTGGCTCTGGAGGCTGTGATGGTAGAAAACAGGTGCCAAGGGGAGGATCGGTGGGTGGGTGCAAATGGGTATCCTCAGTACCATGTGTCACCATGCGGGGCCCCTTGCCAGGAGAGTGGGGGTGTGCACTGGCAGGCAAGGTATCCGAGTGTGCGCTGTGTGTGGCTTCTGCCTGCACCCGTCATCACGTGCTTTCTGCCACCTGTGTGCACTGAGCCCTGGCCCTGCAGCCAGTCAGCACCTAGGTTCAGCTGTCCACACCAGAGTGGGCGTCTGCAGAGCCCTTCTCGGAGCCCTTGTATGAAGGCACAAAGCCAGGGCAGCTCTGCCTCGCCAGTCTGGACACAGGGACCAAACACACTGAGACCAAGCAAGCTTGAGGGGCTACAGACTGCTCCAGAGGGAGGGTACAGAGTGGCTCTGCAAACTCAGGCAGAGAAAACCTTTTTCTAAAAAGAGGAGCAGAGACCTCTGGGTCAGAAGGAGAAAGAAAGTGCCACTTAGGCGGAGTCCCCTGTCATTAGGAGTAATCAGCCGGCTGCCACCTGCCCTGCCTGGTCCTGTTTGGAATGAGAGGGTTTAGAGTTGGCGTTATGTTAATCCCAGCAGGCAGAATAGGAGTAAAAGATTTCCCTGCAAAAGAGGAAGAAAATGAGAGGAATAACTGGGCTTTGCCAGCCAGCCTGAAAGAAGCCCAGTGTGCATGCCTGGCTTAGGTGGGGACACTGAGGACTTAGGTAGGCACCGCCGTGCGCCTGGCACGCTGGGCAGTCCCTTGCCCTGGCCTGCTCCACCCTCCCTCCCACTCCCCTCCCTGGGATGCTGTTTTGGGAACTGGTGACCTCCCTGGATCCTGCCTTTATTTCTGGCATTGACTTTGTTGCCACAGCAACTGCGGAGGTGGGGCTAAGAAGGGGGGAGAAGGAGAGGGAAAGAAAAAAGGGAGCCAGAAAACACGAAGAAAGAAAAGAAAAAAAGGGAAGGGAAGCAGGAAGATGAGAAAGCAACATAAGGCAGTCCTGTTGAGCACAGTGAGGGACGCCAGTGTGACCTAGGCAGCTGGCTGCACTCACTTCGGAGCTTCATGGCCTTCCAGCCAGGGCCCTCACTCCCAGGTCCTGATCTGCAAGGCAGGTTGGTGAGCAGGACCCAAGTCTTGAGCTCAGGCTGAAATAGGATTTGGGGGGGCCTCGCTGAAAGGCGTTCCTCTCCTAGGCCTGAGCTGTTGCCTGGGCAGGACTGCCAGCTTGGGTAGCTTTGGCAAGCACCTCTCTGCATCACTTGTCCTGGACCCTAAGTGAGAAAACTGCTGGTCTGTGTGAAGTCCAGCCAGGACGGGGGACGTGTGGAAAGTCCCTAGCACAACCAAGTGTGATGGCACATTCTCGGAATCCCAGCACTAGGGAAGCTGAGGCAGGAGGATTGCTGCAAGTTTAAGGCCAGACTGGGCTCCATAGTGAGTTCAAGGCCAACCTGAGCTACACAGCAAGACTCTAGCTCAAAAACTAAGAGAAAGTCCCTAACCTGAGCATTGGCATCAAACAACTAGTGAGTGGCTGGCTTAGGCTGGAATCAAAGGCTGGACCAGAGAAGTGGAGGGTGCAGTTCCGCCTGGTGTCCTTCATTGCTGGAAGTCTGCAGAGCTAGGGTCTGGACTTGCCCCTGTAACACCAGCCATGGGGAGGTCCCTGTGGGTTGGTTCTTATCACCCACACCCCTGGAGCTCTGTTGCTATGGAGATGAGAAGGTGGGTGGTGTGAGGTGGGGCTGGGCTGCTGGCTCAGATAAGGCGTGAAGGGACACAGCTGGGGGAGGGTGGGGTTGCCGTGGGGGAGGAAAAGCCCGCTGGCCACCGACCAGGGCCAGGCAGGCTGAGAAGCCCCTTCCGCCACCTGGACTGGCCTTCCTCCATTCCTCCCTCTTTTCCTGCTGCAGCCTGCCCTTTGGGTCTCTGGCCCCCAGGTCAGAGTCAGCGGAAGGAGGCAAGAGTCATGAGTGGGGGTCTGGGGGTGGAGCCTACTAGAGGAGGTGGAGTGGGAAATGACTGAGAGAGGGAGCTACATGCTAGGAGAGGCCAAGACAACTTTCTGTTTTTTTCATTCCCTGCCGGCTTTCTGACAGCTAGAACTTTCACCAGTAAACGCTCTTATTTCTTTCCTTCTTTTTTTTTTTGTTTTTGGATACCAGGGATCTAACTCAAGACCTTGTACTTGCCAGGCAGGCACTTATGCCGCTGAGTTAAATCCCTGGCCGCAATCTTATTTCTTAAACCTCATCCCAAATTAAAATGCAGACATAGTACCTACTTGGGATGGTGGCAGACACCTGTAATCCCAGCAGTTCAGCTACTCAGGAGACTGAGGCTGGAGGATCCCAATTGTGAAATCAGCTGAGAAAAGATCCTGCCTCAAAACAAAAAAAGGCTGGGGATACAGCTCAGCATTCCCTGGGTGCAGTCCCCTGTACCAGGGAGCGGGGCTTGGTTTTTACTTACACCACCGTTTTGTGTGGGGTGATCCCCTGGTTAATGGGCTTCAATTCCACACAGTATCAGGTCAAACATTTTTTTTTTTTTTTAATCGGTACCAGGGATCGAACTCACCACTGCCTGCTTGCAAGGCAGGTGCTTATGCCGCTGAGCTAAACCCCCAGCCCCAGGTCAAACATTTGATTACTTAAGTCGCAATGTCCTCTGAACCTGAGATGATAGTCATTTCACAGGATCAGGGTGTCAGGAAGAGAGGGAAGAAGGAATTTGGGGTACAGTGCACACGGCCAGTGGGTACAGCGATGGCCCATAAATATTAACTGTTAGGACTACCTTGACCATTGCCATTTGGAATGGTGACCCCATGTGGCTGTGCCCGTGCCCTGGTGCTGGTGGTCCTGAGCATGGGTCTCTGTGCCTTGGACACACCCCTCCTGTCCTGAGCAGTCCGCTGTCACTCTCTGTGTTCCACAGCACCTGCTCCCCAGAATGACACCTCCCTGCTCCTGGTCATGGGCCACTCAGCACAGGTGTGAGACCTCCTTTGTTCCCTTCCCTAGAAGCAGAAGGCTCTGCTTGGTTCTCAAACATCCCATACTAACACTGCCGCTGCCCAGTCTCTCCCCCTCTGCTCCTTCCCGGAACCACCTCTTTCCTCCAAGGCCATGCCTGTCCCTTGGTGGTACATGACTGTAATCTCAGCACTCAGGAGGCAGAGGCATGAGGATCCCTGTGAGTTTCAGGCTAGCCTGGGCTACACAGTGAGATAAATAAACAAAACTCACAGTCAGTCCTGCCTCGTCTGAGGTCCCCCTCCGGGTTCCCTTGGTCCTTCTGTCACACCTCTTGGAGGGACACGGCCCCTTTGCAGATGGATGGCAGCCTTGCCAGGCTGTGGGCCCCAAGAAGGAGGCTATTGGAGGCTTGACATCCAGCCTGTGGAGGACATGATATTCTTTTTTCCTGCAATGCTGGGAGCTGAACCCAGGGCCTTTGCACCAAGTTACATCCTCAGTCTGTTTTTTGTTGTTGTTGTTGTTGTTGTTGTGTTTTTTTTTAAACTGTCTGTCTGTCTACATTTTAAGACTGGTTCTCTTTTTTTTTTTTTTTTTTTGTCTTTTTCATTTTTATCGGTACCAGGGATCGAACTCACGACCACACACTTGTAAGGAAGGCGCTTATGCCACTGAGCTAAATCCCCAGCCCCTTAAGGCTGGTTCTCACTAAGCTGTATGGGCTGGGATCAAACCTGTGATCCCCCAGAGTCCTGGGATTACAGACTTGATTTTTGTTTGTTTTTTGCAGTACCAGGAATCGAACTCATGACCTCATGCTTGCCAGCCAGCTGCTTATGCCACTGAGCTAAATCCCCAGCTCGATTTTTTTTTTTCTTTTGAGAGCAGGGTTTTGCTATGTAGTTTAGGCTGACCTTGAACTCATGGCAGTCATCTTGCCTCAGCATCCCTCCACCCCAAATGCTGGGATTACAGGTGTATTGCCACCACACCCACTCTGGCCTCAAACTTTTAGTCCTCCTGCCTCAGCCTCCCGAGCAGCCCAGCTTACAGATGTTCACCATGCCTGTCTTGGGTAGCACTTCCCTCTGTGCCTCTCCTCACCTTGTCCACAGCACTGGCCCCTGGCTGCTGCAGCCCCCTCCCCTGATATCTTCTCTCAGCCTTTTTGCACTTACTGTGTGTCAGCCCTTTGCCGAAGACAAAGGACATGAGATACACTGGTTGTCTTAGAGCAGGTCCCCTGGTTTCCCAGATTTTTGGTTTTTTGGGAGACAGAGTCATTGTGTAGTTCAGCCTGGCCTTGAGATCCTCCTGCCTCAGCCTTATCAGCTTCTGACTGAGAAGCTGCCAGTCTTCACAGTTTCCTAGGTTGCTCCCCAGAAGCCAGGTGTTCACATCACTTCTACCCTGTGGGCACATGTCTGCCTCCTCACCTGGCACCTTTCCATGCCTTCATCCCAGACATACCCACCTGCCACTCCCAAAGTCTCAGCCTGTCAGAGCTGGACTCATCCCTTCCAAAGCTCTGCTCGGGCTCAGGCTTTGCACTGGCTGTCACAGGACTTCTCCCTTCTGCCTCTTCCCACCTCCCACCCCACCATTCCCAGTGCTATGCCTGAATCCTGTCACAGCTTCTAGGCTGGCCTTCTTGGAGACACTTTTGCCTGTTCATTTTGGCTCCCAGGCTGTAGTCAGATTCATTTCCCCCAATGACCTGTGTTACTTCTCTGCTTAAAAAAATTTTTTAAATGGTGGCACACACTTACAATTCTAGCACTCAGGAGGCTGAGGCAGGAGGATCGCTGAAAGTTTGAGGCCAGCCTGGGTTAGGAAGCCAGGCGCAGTGGTGCATCTCTTTGATACCAGTATTCTGGGAGGCTGAAACAGGAAGATCACAACCTCAAGGCCAGCATAAACAAGTAGGCCATTTAGCAAGACCCTGTCTCAAAATAAAAAAATAGCCAGCTATGGTGCCATATGCCTATAATCACAGCACTTGGGAGGCTGAGGCAGAAGAATTGCTGCAATTTCAAGGCCAGCCTGGGTTATATAGTGAATTCAGGATCACTTTCACTACATAGTGAAGCCCTGTCTCAAAAAAACCAATAATTAATTAAGGGCCAGGGATTTAGCTCAGCAGCATCAGTGCCTACTTGGCAGATGCTAGGTTGTGAGTTCAATCCCCAGTACAAAAACAAAAACCAATAATTAATTAAAAAGGGCTTATGACATAGCTCAATGCAAAAGTGCTATAAACCTTCCTCCCACCACCAATTTTAAGGGCTGGACATGTGTATGCCTGTAGTCCCGATACTCAGGAGGCTGAGACAGGAGGATCACCTCGGCCCCAGAGTTCAAGACTAACTTGGGCCACATAGCAAGATTCTACCTGAAAAAAAAAAAATAAGTGTAAAGTTTTTAAGCCTCCTGTAATGCCCACAGAATACAATCCAATCCTAGTGTTGGACACAAGCCCTCCAGTCCATCTCAAACGCTGCAGTCATGTTTACCTTTTTTTTTTTTTGTACTGGGAATCGAACCAAGGACCTTGTGCTTCCCAGCAGGTGCTTGTGCTGCTGAGCTGCATCCCAGGCCCAGTCAGTCACACTTGGCGTTTCCCCCAGACAGGCCCGGAGTGCCTCCTGTCCCCACCTGTATGCAGGCTGCTTTCTTTCAGCAGCAGGAACAGACTTTCTCTGTGAGCACCAGGTAGCTCTCGTGTGTGTCCATGGCCAGAGTCTCCTACAGCCTTGGTTCTGGACTCTCCCAGACACTTGGGAAAACTGGCGGGTTCCAGTCTCCCCACGGGAATGCAGAGCAGCCTGTACCATGCATTCAGCTTGCAGCTCCTTGACACAGATGGACATGTTCGTTTGTGTTTGTTTTTGGACACTCGATTGAAAGTGAAGTGCAGACTGGCCTTGAGCTCTCCACAATCCTCCTGCCGCAGCCTCCCAAATGCTGCGATTATAGGCATGTTCTACCCCACTCCCTGCTAGTTTTTAACCTCCCTGGATCTCAGTTTCCTCATCTGTGAAATGCATCTGCCTTCAAGGGTTGCTATAAGAATGAAAGAATACTTCTTAGTGTTTATCGAAGTACCTAGCATAGGACAAGACCCAAACGGTGCCAGCTCTGGATACTCTCGTTGACGTCCAGAACTCTGCTGTGGATGCATTAGGGAAGAAACGCACTCCACTCGAGGCAGCACAAACTCAGTGCTTAGCTTAAGGCCTGGGTTTAAGGTGGAGAAGGAGCAGCGGGGGGAGGGGCTTTCGATGGACTGGAAGGGTGCATGGCCAAGAGGCAGAGATGTGCAGGTGGGGGCCAAAGCAGAAGTGGGGAGAGGGCTGCTTGTCCTGCAAGCAGGCAGTTTGGTGACAGAATGGAGCACCCATGTGGGCCTCAGTTTTTTGTGGCTGTCAGGAATGGCCCAGAAAAACCTGGAGCTCCTCACGCTCTGAGGCAGCTAAGGGCAAACCCTCCACCTCGAACCTATCAGGGGCACGCATGCACTTCACACTTTCTGTCGCATCTTATCCTCAGAGCAGCCCAGTGACACAGGGACTATGCCTGCCACCCATTTTAGAAAGGAGGCCTACAGAGGTGAAGTAACTGGCCCGAGGTCACACAGCCCTGGCTTCCGGGCAGCCCATGCTGGCGCGGTGTTCACCGCCTGTGCCGACTTCTCCACTCTGTCATTCTGGGTCTGTGGCTTGGCAGCCCACCGTCATCAGGACCCAGGACCCAGCCAGGCTCTCAGGGAATGCATAAGGGGCCCAGTGCTGGGTGTCCCGGGAAGGAGAAAGCAGGGCTGGGGGCCCAATACGCTTCTGCAGGAGGAACCCAGGTACGCAGGTACAGCGCACGTGGGCGGCTAGGGCGCTTCCCGGCATCCACATGCTGGGCCCAGAGCCCTGGCAAGCAGGAACCAGACCTAGGCCCCCGGGTGCGTCACCTTCACAGAGTCACCAAGAGCCCGCAAAGGACGAGGGGTGTGGCCAGCTCCACCCTGTGCTCCGCGCCCGCACTCAGCAGGCTTGTCCCCAAGTGCCCCCGCGAGGGAAGATGGATGACTTCCTGCGGGAATGAGGCTGAGTGGAGGAGCCTGGAGGTGTGACCCCCGCAGGTGTGACCCCCGTGCAGAGGCCGCTTGCACCGGGCCGCCGGGTGACCCCTGCCGTCATTTCCTCCGGAGCCGGAGAACAATGGCTCAGAACGAGGGGCCGCCGGCCGCGCCGCGCGCGGGGACCCGGCCTTACCGCAACCCGGGCCCGCGCCCGCCCCTCCTTGCAGCCGCCCAGCGCCAGCTGAGTCGCCGAGGGATGAGGACGCGCCCGGGCCGTGCCACGCCCTCGCCGCGGGAGCCAACCCGCGCCTGACCCTCGCCCGCCGCGCGCCCCGCGCCCCCCCTCCCCCGCCCACCGCATGGAACGACTGCAGAAGGTGCGGGGCGCGCTCCCTGCGGGCGGGCGGGGGGTGGGGGCGGCCCGGGAGCCGAGGGCGCCGCCTAGTGGCCGCCCGCCGCGCAGCACGCCGGGCCCCGAGGCCTAGGGCAGACCCGCGCCCCCGCCCTCGCACCCACGCACACGCCCACTCGGCCGCCTTCTGCTCTCCCCAGCACCCTCTTACCTCCCCCGGGAGCGTCAGCTCCTCCCGAGACTCCAGTGTACCTGGCTCTCCCTCCAGCATCGTGGTGAGTACCTGTGGCGGCCAGCAGCACCCTCAGGTTGGGAGGAGGGGGGTGGGTACCCAGGTCACTCAGAGCCCCGCCCCCATGCACCGCACGGCTGTCCTGCTGGCGCAGGCAGACGGAGAGACCCCAGAGATCCGGAGGAGGCTCCCCCGGTCCCCATCAAGGTCTGCTCTGATGGCTCCTAAAGAGCAACGCAAAGAGACTGTCGTTTATTTTAAGGTGATGTCTCAGTGCTTAAAATGATGGAGCCCTTCACGCGTGCGAGCTCACAGCTCAAATGGCTGCCCGAGTTCTGGGCCCAAGCTAAGGCGGCCATGGTGCTAGGGCCGCGGGCGAGGCTTTCAGCACATCCGGTCCATTGATGCTGTTTCCCCTCAGGCCAAGATGGATAACCAGGTGCTGGGCTACAAGGACCTGGCTGCCATCCCCAAGGACAAGGCCATCCTGGATATCGAGCGGCCAGACCTCATGATCTATGAGCCCCACTTTACCTACTCCCTGCTGGACCATGTGGAGCTGCCCAGAAGCCGGGAGGTGAGGGGTCTTCGTGGTCGGAGGGCACAGGGTGGGGGGTGGAATCTGCTTTTGCTGACCTTCCTGGCGGCTGGTGTCAGTCACTGGAGCTACACTGCAGGAAGTGGATCAATCCATCCAGTGTTTACAGAGAGGGGCTGTGGCCCATGGCTGGGGTGTGGCCCGGATGTGGAGGGCAAGAGGGGCAGAGCTGAATGGCTGCAGCGTGGTGGTGACGGTGGTGGGGTTCTATGGGAGAGAGCAGTGAGCAGCAAGAACAAAATGTGCACAAGGTGAAGGCAGGAAGGCTGAGCTGAGAGACTGGTGTGAGGCTGAGGCCTCAGTTTCCCCTCCTATAGCAGAGGTTGTTAGGTAGTCAGGGTATTGAGTCAATGCGTGGACAGGCCTTCTGTCAGAAGGCCAGAGCAGAAGGATGTCGGGGAGTTTGAGGTCCGCCTGGGCTAGTAGTGAGTTCAAGGCCCGCTGAACGGCATAGTGAGGCCTTATCTCAAGAGTGGGGAAAGGCAGTGCTAAGGCGGCCGCAGTGAGCTGGGGCATCGGGCCTCAAATCCAGTCCGGGAGCCTGTGCTTTGTCCCCGGCTGCATGTTGCTCTGGTCACCATTGTTGCTGGCTGGGTTCTGAGGACAGGGGTGTTGCTAGCTCACAGTTGGCCCTCGAGGACCAAGCATGCAGCTCCAGGGCTGCCCTGCTCTGGCCTCCAGCGTAGAGCTCCAGGCAGCCCATGTGGGGCTGGGAACTGGCAAGGATCTAAGAGGAGACAGGTGGGGTATGGAGTGGCCTCTGGGGTTCTAGGGAGAGGGTTTCATTCTGTGCTCATGACTGACCAGCCCCCTCCATTTGCAGCGCTCTCTGTCACCCAAGTCCACGTCCCCCCCACCGTCCCCGGAGGTGAGTGTGCCCAGCCTTGTCCAGATGGGGCCACATCTCCCTGCTCCGGCACATGTCCAGTCTACAGGCAGAGCCCAGAGGATGACAGAACCAGCAGGTCCCAGCTGATCCTTGGCCTGCTTGGTGGCCATGCCTGGATAACCCAGGTGTCATGGCCCCTACTCCCAGGTCCCCTACTCCAGGGCAGGCAGTGCTTATGGCTGGGGCTGGAAGTCAGTGGAAAGTGCACTCCTGGAGGCTTCCCTGTGGGTCAAAGCAGGTGAGGGACACCTGGCAGTTGCACGCTTCTGCTTCACAGGTGTGGGCAGAGAGCCGGACCCCCGGAATCCTCTCTCAGGCTTCAGTCCCCAGAGCCACAGGGACCCCCCGGACGAGCCTGCCACACTTCCACCACCCTGGTAGGTTTCCAGGCCAGTGTAGCTGCATCCTTCCCTGAGACCGCTCTTATCCTGGGGACCTCAACCTGTGCTCCTGGACCCACTCTCTCTGGGGCATAAACTCACCACAGCCTCAGCTGGACCCGTGCTCTGGAAACCCCGGGCAGTCCTCCTTCCCTCCCACTCCCCAGGGATGCCCAAGATCCCCAGTTCTGCTTTAGCTCTGGGCACGTCTTTTGTCCTAGTATTTCCTGCCATCAGTGTATCCCCCTCAGCTGCTCTTGTCTCCTTTCTCAGAGACCACCCGGCCGGATTCCAACATCTATAAGAAGCCACCCATCTATAAGCAGAGAGGTGAGGGGTCCCCTAACATCTCAGGGCCCCTTCCTGCCACGTCCTGGGGTCTGTGCTGGTGCTGGCCGGGAGCAGATAGGAGAATAACTGTTCGTAGCAGCATGTCTGATGTGGGGGCACATGTGTAATCCCTGCCCCTGGAAGGCACAAAGATCACAAGTTTGAGCCCAGCCTGGAAAACTTAGCAACTTAGTGAGACTTTGTCTCAAAAACAAAAACAATATAATGTAATACTCAGTGTAAAGGCTCTGGGTTCCATTCCCAGTATTGCTGACGTGCCCCCCCCCCCAGCATGTCACATTGGGCACTGGCCCTGTCCTTGCTGTGCTTTACATGGGGGCCTCCCTGGTGTGGGGATGAGAGGGTGGGGAGCAGGAGTGGGCAGGGTGGCTGGGCGGCTGTGTGTGTGACTTCCGCCTCCATCCGCAGAGTCCATGACTGGCAGCCCTCAGAGCAAGCACCAGATCGAGGACCTCATCATCGAGTCGTCCAAGTTCCCTGCGGCCCAGCCCCCAGACCCCAACCAGCCGGCCAAGATCGAGACCGACTACTGGCCCTGTCCCCCGTCGCTGGCCGTTGTGGGTAGGAGACCTGGGACAGGAGAGAGGCAGGCTGGGACATCCCGCCACTCCCTGGGCCCCCACCACTCCCTGTGGGCGCTTTTGAAGCTGCCAGCTGTGTCCCACCACACCTCCTGAGTGGGGCGTAGCTCACCCCTTCCCTGCTTTCCTGCAGCGCAGCTGGGAGCAGCCGCTGGTCGTTCCTTCCCTCCCGTCCATATGTGGCTTCTCTCCCTTTTTGATTTTACTGTTTTTACTGGTGCTGTCTGCAGCAGATTCCGAGTCCATTTCTCGTGAGGGGCTGTCCACATCCTGACACACACTCTCACTCTTTCCCTTCCCTTCCCAGTCTTCTCCCTGCTCCCCTCGGTTGCTTATTTAGTCTTTCAGCAGATATTTCCCAAATCTTGCTGAGTCTCAGGCCCTGTGACCTGAGCTCTGGAGGGAAGACAAGTGAGAGAGGAGGTTTGCACCTGTCACCACAGCTGCTGGGGAGCCTGAGGCAGGAGAATCAGAAATTCAAACCCAGGCTGGGCGTGGTGGCATATACATCTGTAATCTCAGTACTCAGGAGGCTGAGGCAGGAGGATGGCAGTGAGTTCAAGGCCAATCTGGGCTACAAAGCAAGTTCAAGGCCAGCCTGAACTGTGCAGTGTAAGAGTCTCAGGAAGGGGGCTGGGGATTTAGCTCAGCGGCATAAGCGCCTGCCTTGCAAGCAGGCAGTCGCGAGTTCGATCCCCGGTACCGATAAAAAAAGAAAAAGACAAAAAAAAAAATTAAAAAAAAAAAAAAAAGAGTCTCAGGAAGACCAAAAAAAAAGAAGTTCAAGCCCAGTCAGGTCAATTTAGTGAGACAGGTTTATGTGTCTATCATGTGAAGGTATTGGTGCTCAGTGGGTTTAAGTTGTATGTGTGTGTTGCTTACCCCACTGCAAGGTGCAGAAGTCGTGTTTGTTTTTTTTGTTTTGTTTTGTTTTGTTTTGTCTTGGTCTTTTTTCTTTTTATCGGTACCAGGGATCAAACTCACGACTGCCTGCTTGCAAGGCAGGCGCTTATGCCGCTGAGCTAAATCCCCAGCCCCCAGAAGTCGTGTTTTGTTGTTATTATTTTTGGTGCTGGAGACTTGAATCCAGGATGCTGTGCGTGATAAATTTGTGTTCCATCTCTGAGCCAGGCTCCTAGTCCTATTTTGTTGTATCTTTTTGTTTTTGTTGTTGTTTTTGGTTTCTGTCAGGGTCTTGATATGTGTTCAGGGTGGCCTTGAACTCACTGTGTAGCCTTGAACTCACAGTGATCCTCCTACCTCAGCTTCCAATGTTGGGATTGCAGATATGTGCCACTGTACCTGGCTCCTACTTTATTATTTTTTATTTTCTTTTTGTACCTGGGATCAAACTCATGACGTTGTGCTTACCAGGCAGGAACTTATGCCACTGAGCTAAATCCCTGGCCCCTAATTGTTATTATTTATTAAATTTGTATTACCTGGTACAATGGCTCAGGGCTGTAGTCCCAGTTTACTTGGGAGGCAGAGGCAGGACAGCCCTCAAAGGCAACCTCAGCAACATAACAACACTTTGTCTCAAAATACTTTTTTAATTAAAAAAGCAACAAAAATAAAGCAGTTGTGGGGCCGGGGATATATATCTCAGTGGCACAGCACCTGCCTGCCAAGTGTGAGGTCGTAAGTTCGATTCCCCGCACCAAAAACAGAAGTTGTGGTCTCTTCCGAGGACCCAGGAGGTACATCGAGCCTGGGGCTGAGCAGCCTCATTACTGTGTCTCCTAGAGACTGAGTGGAGGAAGCGGAAGGCATCACGCAGGGGAGCAGAGGAAGAGGAGGAAGAGGAGGATGACGACTCCGGAGAGGAGATGAAGGCGCTGAGGGAGCGGCAGAAAGAGGAGCTCAGTAAGGTCCGGCTGCTCCCCCCCCCTCCCCCGTCTCTGTGGGGAAGGCCTTGGGCCAGCAAAGCATCCTCCTTAGACAAGGGGACCATGCACCTGTGCGTACCCAACTCTCGCCTTCGGGAGATGAGGAATGGGGGTCAGAGACTCAATTCCATCTTCCTGTCTCCTCAGGTTACTTCCAACTTGGGAAAGATGATCTTGAAAGAAGAGATGGAGAAGTCGTTGCCGATCCGGAGGAAAACCCGCTCCCTGCCGGACCGGACGCCTTTCCAGGCCTGTGAGTGCTGCTGTGTGCGGTGCTGGGACTCCATTCACTGCTGGAGCCCGTAGCTTGGAGATGTAGTCCAGGGTCGTGGGAGAGAACATCTGCTCCAGTGGGGTTAGCGGTTTACTGCTGAGGGTCTGCCCCTCACAGCTGCTGGGGATGTCACTGGTGCACAAGAGTCTTGTGCCCCAGGAGCTTGCACTTGGTGGGAAAAAGTGATGCGAAACCTGGGATTTTGCTTTTATTTTTGTCTTTGTGTTTGGTACTAGAGATTGAACAGTGACAGCCCCAGAGGCTAAACTGAGTCTGGAAGGATGTGACAAAGTGAGGCAGGCAGAGTGAGTGGGGACGGCCACCTGCAGACGTCAGGGACAGCATGGAGACAGGTGGGGAGTGGAAGATCCTCAGCTAGGAGCACAGGCCCCATGCGGCGAGGCGGGCTTGTGCCCTTGCTTACCCTGGCCACAGAGGCCGCAGAGAGGAGGAGGACTCAGGATCCCAAGGTGCGGGCCAGGAGCTCTCAAAGCCCATCCTAGGCAGCTGGGCTGTGTCTCTTCCTCAGTGTCTCTTGGTCAGAGCAAATCGCCAGCAGCAGGGATACAGGCTCCACTTCCTGGCTGAGGGACTGTGAGGACTCACTGTGAAAGCAAGCAAATGGAGGGGCAGGGCATCTCACAAGCAGCTGTTACACTCGCCAATAGTCTGTGTCGGCCTTCCATTACTGTAACTAACAGTCTGGGGTGGGTTAACCCAATAGAGAGAAGAGAGTTCTGTAGTTCCCAGGTCCAGAGGGTCAGAAGCCTGCATTCAGTGATGGCCTTTTTGCTGGCAGAATCCTGAGGTGGCACAGCCACTCTACATGATGAGACAGTGCCTGTGTGTGCGTGCACCTGTTGTATGTCTTGGTATCTGTATGGCCTTTCCACCCCACTTCTTTCTTGTGGTATGAGGATTGAATCTAGGGGTTCTCTAGGCCTTAGCTACATCCCTGGTTGTTTTTATTTTGAAACAGGCTGTCACTAAATTGCCCAGGCTGGCTTTGAACTTAGATCTTTCTGCCTTAGCCTCCCAAATACCTGGAATACAAGGCATGTGGCACCAGGCCAGCTAGTTTTCACTTTCTTTTCTTTTGTTTTTCTTTTTGTCTTTTTGAGACAGGGTCTTGCTGTGCTATTCTGGCTGGCCTTGAGCTTACTGTGTAGCCCAGGCTGGTCTTGAACTCGAAATTATTTTCCTACTTCAGCCTCCCGAGTGCTGGGATTACAGGCGTGCATCACCATTTCCAGCTTGTTTTCACTTTCTTAATTTCACAGTGGGAGTTAAATTTCAACACATGAAGTCTTGGGGTTCGCAGACAGCCCATATCCAGCCCATAATATTGTATAAGGGCTAAAAGCCTTTCTGAGCCCAAGAACAGGCTGAGTCTGCCAGTGTTTGATTGGACAGAGTGGGGGGGTGAGGGGAGTTGGGGGGTTTGTCCCAGGCACTGGTTGGTGACCTCCGGAACCACTATAACAAAAGTGGAAGGGACCGGTTTCAGACGATGCAGTGTGTGCTGAGTTCGGCTGACTTGGGGCCTGGGGACTTCAGCTTGTACACTGGTGAAAAGGAACCACAACTGAGTGTGTGGAGATGGCTGGTAGGGTGCACGGGCTGTGGCTGGATAGGTCCAACAGTGACCTCCTCTTGCAGGCGTAGGTGAGAGATGTGGGGAAGACACGGAGCCTGGCTGGGCAGTTCCACTTCCCCTGAGGACTGGGGAGGCCACAAGAGCAGCCCAGGTTAGAAGTCAGGGCGGTCTGCTGAATGCAAGGGTGGCGAGGCTCAGGTCAGTGGTGGAGGGCAGTGCTCACCCACAAAGCGTGGGTTCTGTCTGCAATGCCTGGGGCCAGGCAGGGAAGTGCTGGCCTTGTCCAGCGTCCATGCTAGGACAGTGCTGAGGAGGGAGGGTCCAGGCTGCACTGCAGAACTGCTGGTGAAAGGCTTTGGTGCTCCTGAGCTGAAAAGGCTGGGGGCCAGGAGATGCGTTAGAAACTGCAGGTCTCCGTGTGATTGGCAGCTGTGGACACCAAAGGACATGGCTGGCTCTGGGGTGTGACCTTTTGAAAGGGTTGTTTGATGTGGACCTCAAGGAAAAGCGACTAGGGACTGAAAGACCCAGAAGATGACTAGGTAGCTAGGATGCACCAGGCTTCCCCTGGGTACAGGTGTAGGGCAGGTGAAGAGAGATCCCAAAGGCATTTTATCTATTTATTCACTTGTTTGTTTTTCTTGAGACAAAGTCTTGCTATGTATTCCAGGTTGGCCTCGATTACTATGTATCCCAAGTTGGCCTTGATTTTACTGTCTAACCTAGGCTGGCTTTAAAGTTGTGGCAGTCCTTCTGCCTCAGCCTTCTAAATGCTGAGATTGTAGGCAAGAACCATCAGGTCCAGCCCAAAGACATTTTAGAGAGTGTAACTCAGTAGTCAAGCCCACGGCCTGGCAAGCACAAGGTCATGGGTTTGATTTCCGTACCAAAAAAAAAGAAAGAAAGAAAGAAAGAAAGAAAGAAAATAGTTAAGCCCAGGAGGAGGAGCAGGAGGGATGTGTCCTGAGGCTCACTGGATTCAGTCCCAGGTTCCACAGGTGCTTCCATTCAGCCAAAGATGAGCTCTGTGACCGCACGTTGGCTTTCTAGGGTTGAATTGCCCAATACCGACCTCATCACTGCATTTGGCAGCTCTGGACAGATGTAATCACTCAACAGTGATCGTGTAGGTGACTGTCATATCTAACAGTCTCAACAGTCCAGAGTCATGAACAGGCATGTCACTTTGGTCCCTGCATGGCCTGGGAATTGTGGCTTTGAAAGACAAGCATTCTGGAAGTACAGGTGCTCCTCGTTTAACAACCTAGCTCTGTTCCTGGGACCAGATCATTAAATGAATTGGTCCAGTGAGGGTATATAGTGTGTGCATTACAATACTCAGAACAGAGAAATGGTCAAAGAAAACTTCATCTGGGTGACTTTGCTTTTATTTATGTAACTTTCCCATGCAGTACCATAATGTATGACAGTATAAAACTATGGTGCTGGACTGCACAGTACAATCAGCAGAAATTACAGAGCTTGGATGTGAGGGCAATCTGGCTGCACCCCTCTGATCACCAGGGTGGACTCTTCTGGCTGCTCTGGCTTCCAGGGTGGATGTTTGTCTGCTTCCTCCCTTTCGCTCCACATGCGTCCACCCCTCCCGAAGCTGCATGCTCCAGGCTCCCAAAAGAGGATGGTATCATGGGTCAGGGTACACAAGGAGCTGTGCTCCCCTGCCAGGCCCTCCAAACAAGCTCTCAAAAACTACAGTGCGGCATAGACAAGGTGCACTGAACAAAAAGGGGCTCAAGGCTTCATACACGAGTTGTATAGACCGTACAAAAATATGACTGATCAAGTTCGAGGGGCGGGTCATACACTGGAATGATGGTTAAACACATAAGATGTTAAACGAGGAATATCTGTAGTTGGAGTGAAAACCCTGCAAAAGTGCTTTATAGGTGATGCTTGTGCCAGTCAGGGAAGGAGAAATGCACACGTATTATTGCACGACTGAAATGCTTCCAGAGTGACTAGTGACTGTGAAAGGTACTGATTCTCTGTGCAGGCCAAGCCTTCGCATGAAATGCTGGGGACTGGAAGGGTCTCAGGTTCAGAGGTGGTTTTGGTTTTTTTTCCTCAAAATTTGGAATATTTGCATAAATTTTACCAGCTGAGCATCCCTAATCCAAAAATCTGAAATCTAAAATGCTATGAAATCTAAAACATTGGGAGCATTAATGTAGCAAAATTGAAGAAGTTTGGAATTTAGAGCATTTCAAATTTAGGATTTTCAAATTTAGGATGCTAAGGCTATATAGGGGTATAGCTCAGTGGCACAAGCCCCACCTGGAAAGCACAAGGTCCTGAGTTCGATTCTTGATATAAAAAAACATTTTTGGATGCTAAAGTTTTTGTTTGGTTTGATTTGGTTTGGTTTGGTTTGGTTTGGGTTTTCTTTGGTACCAGGGATTGAACTCAACGACCTTGCGCTTGCCAGGCAGGTACTTATGCTGTTAAGCTAAACCCTCGGCCCTAGATGCTAAACTTATATAAAAAGAAGTGTTAGGTTCCCAGAAGTCGTCAACTGGTTTTAAATATTCTGAGGCTAAACAAATTTAAACTAAATCCTACTCAAAAGAACTGCCATCCAGGCATGTGTCCATAATGTCACCTTGGGAGGCTGAGGCAGGAAGATCACAAGTTTGGGCCAGTGTAAGGAACTTAACACTGCCCTGCTGCCTCAAAATAAAAATTAAAAAGTGCTGGAGATGTAACTAAGGGGTAGAGCGCACCGTAAAAACAAAACCTGCTGCAGACTTGCAGGCCTTTTTTGTCTTTTTTTTTTCTTTTTTTTTTTTAACTTTTTGTCGGTGCTGGGGATCGAACTCATGACCACCTGCTTGCAAGGCAGGTGCTTATGCCACTGAGCTAAATCCCCAGCCTCTACAGGCCATTTTTTAGTAACTAGAAGCAAAGGAGTTTGCAGATGTGTACAACTTAGGAATCCTGGAGACAAAGTGCTTTCTAGAAAAACACATTACTGAAATAAATTTTCTAGAATTACAATCTAGAATTACAATCTGCAGTGCTTGAAAGTTTAGACTCATAGAAAATGTGCAAGTGGTGGATGACATCCAGGCCTGCAAACAGGAAGTATCTTGAGTGCTCAGTAGCTCCCTGGGCTAATGATGGCTTTGCCTGTAGTCTAATGTCAAATGTTCAAAATTTGATGAACACTTTCTAAAATTGCAGTAATTTAGTTCTTTTGATTAGACTTTAGGTTTATATGTATATCCCAGAGGCTGGGCACTGTGAAATAATGGTGAACCTCAGCTTTAGCTATGGATTTTAGCACTAATTAGAGAGGAGAGGGAAGCATTCTGGGCAGTTCAGAAGCCCAAGCATGAGCCAGCATGGCAGAGACCCGGGAAGCCCAAGAGGCTGAAGCAGGGTGAGCGCCTGGGCTACATGATGAGTTCAAGGCCAGCCTGAACTACCTAGTGAGACTTTACCTCCAAAAAAGAAGAGAAGCCCCAGTGTGGTGTCACTTGCTGGCGGTAGTGGGCAGGAGCTGGGACCCAGCAGAAACCTACTGTGGTCCCTCGACTTCCCCCTTTGTTCCCTGCCCTGGCAGGGCAAGGCCAGCTAGGCAGCCCTCTCAGGAGCCCAGGGGCTGAGCGTGGGTCCTCTCGCTCCTTTACAGCTTTGCACCCAGGAACATCTAAGTCTTCTTCTCTCCCCTCCTACGGCAGGACCACTCTGAGCCGGGTAAGGTCTCAGCAGCGGGTGCATGGGCCACAGAGGAGAGCATGTGTGTGGGGTGCTGAACCAGTGGGTACTTAGGGATCCCTGGGTCAAGGGGCACTCAGTGAAGGGCATGGATGAGGACTGCGCTTAGCTCCCACTGACCCCTCTGTGTGCCCTCCTAGCTACAGTCCACAGACTTCAGTCCATCCGAGAGGGAGACTGGAAGCCCAGGTGAGAATCGGGGCTGTGTTGTCAGGGAGCCAGGAAAGGGTGTCTGCAGGCTCCCACGCAGCCAGTGTCCGACGCGGGCAGGGCTGTGTGCAAGGCCCCTGGCCGAGCTGGTGGGTTTTGAAGCTCGCTGACTTTGGCGCCGCCTCTGAACAATGGCTCTTGTCTCCTGCAGGCCTCCAGGTGAGTGTCCCCGGGAGGGGAGCAGACGGAGTGCCAGCAGCCAGGGCCCGGCAGCTGGCAGTGTCAGGGGAAGGGGGGTATGGGGCCATGGCATTGCCTGGCGAAGACCCGAGGAGCCCAGGGTAAGGCTGGGAAGGTCCCGTGCCCCACTCTGGCTCACTGCGGCTTTGGTCTCCCCAGAACGGAGAGGGCCAGAGGGGGAGGATGGACCGGGGGAACTCCCTGCCCTGTGTGCTGGAGCAGAAGGTGAGGGCGTGGGCCCGACCACCCAGCGGGGCGGGGTGTGGGTGCAAGCCAGGCAGGCTGAATGTGCTCGGATCCCCCTGAGATGATGCTGGGGACAGCTGGGGAGCTGGGGGGATGGAGGGCAACACAGCATGAGCTGGTGGCCTTTGCACTTGATGAGAGGCCAAGGGAATGGAGGGGCTGCATGGACAGAAGAGACTGAGCTGGTCCTCCCTGTCCTCAGATCTATCCCTACGAGATGCTGGTGGTGACCAACAAGGGCAGAACCAAGCTGCCTCCGGGAGTGGACCGAATGAGGCTTGAGGTGTGTAGAGAAGATGCGTCAAGTGCTGTAGGGGCTACCAGTGGGGTCCTCTGCCAGCACCGAATGGGTGCAGGCACTGCCATCAAGTCCTGCCTCCCTGTTGTGGATCGATGTGGGACTGAGCATGTGCCCTTCCCCCACTGGGTGCACTGTGTGTGGGTTTTCAGGGGGATCGGGGCCCTGTGCACCCATCATCACTTAGCACACCCCACGCCGAGCCTCCGTCCCCTCAACGGCCTGCGTGTCTCCCCACAGAGGCATCTGTCTGCAGAGGACTTCTCGAGGGTCTTCGCCATGTCTCCTGAAGAGTTTGGCAAGCTGGCCCTGTGGAAGCGGAACGAGCTCAAGAAGAAGGCGTCCCTCTTCTGACCATGCTGCGCCTCTCTGTGATGCCCCTACCCCGCTGCTTCAGGGCTCTGGAGCTGGGGCCCTGAACCCCGCAGCATCCCCTTCCCCTGGCAGGCTGGGCACGGCGGAGGCTGGTGGGGGCAGGTGGGTTCTGTTCCTCAGGGAGGGGTAACCTGGCCCTCCGCAGTGCCAGGCTGGGAGCTGTGGACTTGCTACCCTACTGTGAGCCAGGGCACTTTCTCTTGTCCCTGGTCCCCACTGCCCAGCCCAACCCATCCTGGCCTCCAGCACACAGAGTGAGTGAGCGTGCCCTCTCCCTGCCTGCCACCCCCATAGGAAGGTCCCCAGAAGAGTGAGGAAAAATTAACAAGGGGACCACCAAGCAGTCAGTCTGTCAGCTATGCTGCCCAGTGGGCAGTGTGCAGCCGGGTGGAGACAGCCCCGGGGTCCTGTGCACACCCACTCGAGCCTCCAGCCTGCACCCAGGCCTCCTGCTTTTCTGACACTGTACCAGAGCAATTGGGGCCTCCAGTAGAGTGATCACCCTCCTCCCGCCAGCTTGCCCTGTCCTTGATGTGCCACCCTCCAGCTTTGAAGCTTCACTGTAGCCCAAGGCTTCCTCAAAAGCCTTGGCATGGTGTGGTGATGCCACTTGAGCAGTACCCAGCCCACCACCAGCCTCAAGCAAAGCCCCTAGGATGCCTCCTATTGTCACCTGTCCCAGGGCCTCAGAGCCCAGGCCTGAGCCTCCTGAGCAGATCAGGAGGTGGGGCTTGGGGCCTCTGTGCTGGCTCTCGGGTCCCCCACACACCCGCACTCTGCTCTCACAGAATGTAATTATTGGGGCCTCCTTCCACTGCATTCCTCACCCCCTGCCCTGCCTACTCACATCCCAGCTTTTTTTCTCCCCACATGTGTATGTGTATAAAATTATATATATATATATATATTTTTGCCCAGGTCTGGGTTTTGTTCCTGCTCAGACCCTGGCATTCCTTTTCTGCCATGTGTGTGATCGTGCTGGGACAGGGCACTCTGCTTGGAATTAAAAGGTTGCATTGGGTCCCTAATCTGTTTGTCCTTTATGAACCACCAGCCATGGGGGAGAGGTACAGATGACATCAGGCCAAGGGAGCCATGGGAATGAGAATTCAGTAAGAATTGAGTGAGGAGCTGGTCATGGTGGCACATGCCTGTAATCCCAGCACTTGAGAGGCTGAGACAGGAGGATTGCCCCGAGTTCCAAGGGCAGCCTCAGCTACATAGTGAGATCCTGTCACAAACAAAAAACAAAAACCAGCAAAAACCTGGGCCAAGGGAGGAGGCGGTCATTTGGTCTTAAGATGTCCTAGGGAATGGACATGGAATTGTGGCCTGAGTGGGTGTGAGGTGCAGATTTCCTGGGAGGACCAGAAAAAAGACTGGGCACGGGCCTGACCTGGTGGAAACAGATTGTATGGGTGCCTGACGACGTGGGTAGTAGGGGAGGGAGAGATTCCCACCCCAGGTGCCTCAGATAAGCTGGGGCTTGACTCAAGCCCCTAGGTGAGTCTCCATCTTTGGCTGAAACAGAAGGAAAGTAGGTAAAAATCACTCTGTTTTTATTTTGTTTTGTTAAAATTTATTATTTTCTGTTTGAGACTCCTGTTGTGTAGCCTGGGCTGGGCTCAAACTCATGGCACGGCTCTCAGGTGCTGAGATTATAGCCGTGCATTGCCACGCCTGGCTTCAGATTTGAATATTTATTTATTTAGCAGTACTAGGGTTTGAATCTCAGGGTCATGCCCAGCACTTTTCATATTATCTTGAGACACGGTCTCACTAAATTGCCCAGGCTGATTTAGAATTTGAGATCTTCCTGCCTCAGCATTCTGAAAAACTCACATTACAGGTACAAGCCATCAGGACTGTTTGAACTTTTTGTCTCCTCCAGGACTGGGGTTTGAACCCAGGGCCTTCACACTGAACTACATCCTCCAGTCCCCTCCTTTTTTTGTTTTGTTTTGTTTTGAAGTAGGGTCTGGCTGAATCACCAGTTGCTAGGCTAGGCTCAAACTCCTGATTCTCCTGCCTCAGCCTCCCAGAGTGCTGGGAGGATAAGCATGCACCATCACGCCCAACTATGAACAATTATTTTAAATTGTAGTATTTTGTGTCCATGACATTGTCTTACACTTTGAACAAAACTGTCAGGCTGATAGGACAGATCATTTCAATCCTTCCAGTGAATGAGGAAATCTTAGAAGAGTGACATTTCATCCAAAGCCTGAAAGGCTGGGGATTTAGCTCAGAGGCACAGGTGCCTGCATGGCAATCATGAGGTTGCAAGTTTGATCCCCTATACCCAAAAATAAAGCTTGAAGCCACATGTGACCAGTGAATGAAGGATAGGCACAAGCGCCCATTTCCTTTTTCCTTTTTCCTGTGCTAAGAAAGAAACCCAGGGCTTCTTGCATTCTAAGCAAGTGAGCTCTCTATCACCCAGCTACACCCCAGTCCCCAGTGTCCTGACTTTGTTTGTTACCTGAGATCGAACTCACAACCTCACACTTTCCAGCCAGGTGCTTCTGCTGCTGAGCTAAATCTCCGGCTCCTGACTTCTTTTTTTGTGGTCCTGGGGACTGAACCCAAGGCCTTTGTGCTGAGCTACATCCCCAACCTTTCTTTGTTTTTATATTTTGAGACAGGCTCTCACTGTCACTAAGTTGCCCAAGCTAGACTCAAACTTGGGATCCTCCTCCCTCAACTTCCCAGGGTGCTTGGAATACAGGGCCTGCATCTCCACACTGGCTCAGTATTCTGACTGCTGCCCCAGGCCTCTCCCAGTAGGTGGTGCTGTCTGTTAGGGGCAGCAGGCCAGGGCAACGAAGAGATGGGAGGGAAGAACCCCGGCCACATGGGCAGATATCAGGCCTTGAGCTTATCCTGCTTCAGGCGCTGGGAACGCAGCAGGGCCAAGGCCAGCGTGGCCCCACTCCACGTGGAGTTCCCAGGCCGTTGGGAAACATCAAGGTCATGGGCCCCAAGGGGTGCTGCAGGCCGTCTGATCACAGCTGACTGGGAGATACTTGTAGTGGGGCAGACTGGATACTGAGTCCTAAAATCCTGTAAGTTCCCTAGAATTTAGAGGTGCTCAGAGTGGGGCTTTGGTCCCTGAAACAGAGCCTTAGGGGAAGTCCTTGGGTCTCCTCCACATGACATTCACACAGAAGCAAAAACTGGGAAATCATTTAGTCCAGCGGCTTCCAAATCTTTTTTTTTTTTTTAATTTTTTTTTCTTTTATCCAAATCTTTTTAATAGCAAAACAACAACAACAAAAATTAGGACTGGTGGCATATACTTTGCAAGCACCAAGGGAGGCTGAGGCAGGAGGATCCCAACTTCAAAAAACACCTGGGCAATATAGGGAGACCCTGCAGTGACCTTGACTCTTCATGCCATCTCCTAGGAGATGCGTTGTCCAAAGGTCCTGTCCTATGTCAGCTATGTGGCAACAGTCTTTCATACCTCTGTGGTCCCTAACATTTTTTGGCACAAAAGACACACTGTGTATACAGAATTTTCTAGAGTTTTTAGCTGAGCCTATTGGTACACAGCTGCAATTCCAGTTACTCAGGACTGTGAGACAGGAAAATTGCAAGTTCAAGGCTAGAGTGAGCCACTTGGCAAGTCCCTGTCTCAAAACATAACAAGGTAGGGAACCAGGCACGATGGTGCATGCTTATAATTCCAGCAATCAGGAGGCTGAGGCAGGAGAATCACAGATAATTCAAGGCCAGCCTGGGTTACATAGTAAGACCCTATCTGAAAACAGTTACAAAAAATTATGAGAATCTTTAAAAAGATTTTTTTTAAAAAAGTCCTGGAGGGGCTGGGGATTTAGCTCAGCGGCATAAGCGCCTGCCTTGCAAGCAGGCAGTCATGGGTTCGATCCCCGGTAACGGTAAAAAGGAAAAAGACAAAAAAAAAAAAAAAAAAAGTCCTGGATTCCCCATGCACCTCCATCGTTATTCCTAGAGTTGTGGGCAACAGAGGGAAGGGAAAATGCTGGTCAGATCCATCCAGCCCACCTCCTCCATTTGAAAGGAGACAGAACAAGGCACATCTTGTCTGCACAGAACTAACTCCCTTCTCCTAGGGCTCTAGATCAGTCTCTAAGCCACTGCTCTACCCCCTCCCCCCCGCCGGAGTGGGCGGGATCTTCCGGTGGTCTGACACAGTTGGCCTACCACCCTCACTTCCCCACTCTGGACACCTGTGCTCAGGCTCTCATTCACTGCTGATCAGGGATAGAACTCACGACTGCCTGCTTGCAAGGCAGGCGCTTATGCCACTGAACTAAATCCGCAGCCCCTGCTGCTGACCTATTTGAAAACATGTTTTCCAAACAGCTGCCTGGGAACTGAGACCCAGAACCTGCTGAGCTTGGATGCAGCCCCTGACCTCCCTGTGAGGACTTGGGGGAATCCCAGGCTCCAACCTTGGGCAGGTTGTGGTCTTCTGAGCCTCTCCTCTTGGGGAAGGAGGCACCAAATACTGAGAAAGCCGAGACTCCAGGTCTATGATTCTGTAAGAGGACCACACCCCCAGTCCTGCTGTGGAGTCTCAGAGCTCTACCCTCTTCTCACAGGCAGTCATTAGCAAAAATATTTGGGAGAGGCACCGGAAATTGAACCCAGAGCTTCACACATGTTGGGCAAGTGCTCCACCCCTTTTATTTTTTATTTTGAGACAGGGTCTTGTTAAGTCATGGAGGCTGGCCTCACACTCACAATTCTCCTGTACCAGCCTCCTGAGAAGCTGAGACTGCAGGTGTACATGACCAAAAATTGTATGTGTACATGTGTGTGTGTATTGGCACTGGGTATTGAACTCTGGGCCTTCACACTAAGCTTCATCTACAGCCCTTTTTTTAAGTTTTGAGACAGTTGGTAAGTCATTAAATTCTCCAAACTAGGCCTCAATTTCCTGAGTGCTGGGATTACAGGTATGGGCTACCTTAACAGGCTCAGAAATGCATTTTGAGATTTTTTTTTCTTCTTTTTCTTCTTTTTTTTTTTTTAAGAAGAGTTTTAATCACATTTACAAAGAAGCATGTAATTCCCAGCACTAAGTTTGCAACATATAAACTGTCCCCCTAGAAAAGAACCAAAAGAATTTTTTTAATCAGTACCAGGGATCGAACTCACAACTGCGCACTTGCAAGGCAGGCGCTTATGCCACTGAGCTAAATCCCCAGCCCCCCCAAAGAATTTTTTTATATTGGTAGGATGCAGTAGAAACATTAAATAAGTGAAGGAAATATATGTAACAGTATATTAAAGTGGGTACACAAAATTATAACATTGAAACAATTGAAGTTTCAAAGGTGCCTTACTTTCTTTCAAATAGTTATAGTCTCTTGCAAAAGCATTAAGTAGTAAATCCAGAATATATTTTCCTATCCTTTCATGTCTTTACTGTTGAAATAAATTCGTTGTGGGTTTCTTGTCAGCAGGAGCGGGCAGAGATGAAGTTCACATGGGGATCCCAAAGGCTCCACTTTGGATGTCTCACAGCCTGCTCCTGTGGCAGGCCCTGCTTGTGTAGTTTCTGGGAATGATTTCCCCCGGGCTGCGCCCACCCAAGGGCCCCCACCCTCTGCTTCTTTCTTTGGTGTACCTGGAAGGGTCCAAGGGACCCCTAAAACAGGCTGTGCGGGTAGAAACATAATGGGACCATATGTGTTGTTTAACATTTTCCAGTGGCCACTTAAAAGTAAAAATTCAAACTGGGTGTGATAGGACACGCCTATAATCACAGCACTTCAGAGGTCGAGGCAGGAGGATCATCACAAACTAGAGGCCAGCCTAGGCTACATAGTGAGCTCAAGGCTAGCCTGGAACTCAGGGAGACTATCTCAAAAAGAAAAGAAAAACAAACAAAAACCAAATAATATACTTATCTAACCCAGTACTTCGAGTCCATTATTATTGCAATATGTAATCCAATATAGAATATGATCAGGGAGCTAGTTAACAAAGTTCCCTTTTTCTGTCATATTAATATCAGGGGATGAGGCTAGGGTTGTAGTTCAGCAACACAGCGCCAAATGCTGGGCCTTGAGTTTGATTCCTGGTACCCACTCCAAAAAAATCTAGGGTGTCCAAGCCAGGGTGGTGTACGTCTGTAATCCCCGCAACTAAGGCCAGTCTGAGTTACAAGAACAGCCTGAACTACATACAAATTGAGGCCCTGTCTCAAAAACAAACAAACAAAAAACTAAATACATTTTAAAAATATAAAGCAATAAATGAAATTTATGTTAATAATACATTGCGTATAAAGCACAAACAGGGAACTAGATAACTTTTTTTCCCCTATCACGTCTTTAAAATCTAGGGTTCTTCTGACTGGGCACATCAGGCAGGATCAGCGCTCCCGGCCCTGCCCAGCCCGCACCTCCAATAAAGGAGGAATCCTAACTCTGCATGGAGGAAACCACAGTGTCCCGCTCCGAGGGACCCCTCTTCAAGACCCGATCGCCCGGCGAGACCGCGCGCTTCCCAGCAGCTTCCTGGTTCGGCAGGTGCCGGGCCGCGCTCCCCCGGGACCCTGGCAGCAGCGGCGTCCCCAGCCCATGGCTGGGGCGGGGCTCAGGATGGCCCCGCCCCTATCCGCCCCGCCCCCTCGCCACCGTCGCCGTCGCCGCCGACCGGAACCCGGCCGGGCCGGGCCGCCATCATGCTGAGCCGGCTCGGGGCGCTGCTTCAGGAGGCCGTGGGGGCGGTGAGGCGCGGGGTCGTGGGCGGCGGGCGGGCAGGGACCCTCCCGGGGCCGGGGCCGGGGCCGGCTCGGGCCTGTGGGGCCCCGCGAGCGCTCGCAGCGGCTCTTCCCGGGGGCCGCGCTCCCGGATCCGCTTCCTGTTTCTGCTTCCTGCGGCCAGAGCTCCTGGCGCTGGCGCTCCTCTCTCAGCGCTCACCGGGGCTACCCAGTCACTTCCTCCCTGGTCCCCCGCAGCCTTTACCCGGCCCCTCGCTGTCATCCGCCTTCCCCCTCTGAGCCCCCGACACCTCCAAGCCTCGGCTCCCGGCGGGGCGCCCTCTCTCGGCGTGGAAAACGCAGGTCCGGGGCGACAGAAGCCCCCAGAGGTGCTCGAGGCCTTGCGGGCCGGGGGCGCCGAGCCCAGAGGATCCCAGACCGTGCACGCCTCGCACCCAGCGAACCAGACCCACCTTGATCGGAAGGAGGATCCTGTTGGGCGGGCTTGCCTGCGATCGGATCTGAAGAGTGTATTGCTTTTTCACTGTGTCACTTCGTGGGGGCCGAAGGCCAAGTCTAAGTCCTCTGTTCACTGATATGTTTAGGGCATCAAATTGTCTTAGGAGAAGCAACCTCGGGGTTCACCTCCCCTTCTGGCAGACTTGTGGAGAAAGTGAGAAACTTGCACACCCCTCTTTCAGTCTTCCACCTCCCCAGTCTTGGTTTTGCTCCAGGGGCAGGGCCTGGGAGCACCGATGGAGGAAAAGATTCCAAATGACCTTCTGTGCTCTCCTCTCTGTGCCCAGTCAAAGCAACTGGCCCTTTAGAAAGCAACCAATGAACTAATCCATACCTCTTGTGAAGACTCCTTTACAAGGCGGGATGGACAACTATTCCCCTCCGCCCGAGTTTTTTGAAAAATGGTCTTGTGTAGTTCAGGCTACCCTTAAACTCACTATGTAGCCCAGGCAGGACTTGATCTTGCTGTGATCCTCCTGCCTCAGCCTCCCCGGAGCTGGAATTACAAGTGTGCACCACCATTCCTGATATACTCCTTAACTCTGAGGAGTGAGTTTGTACTGCCTGCTGGAAGCACTGGAGGCTGGAGATGTGGGAGTGTGGGTAGTCGTCTTCAGCCCTCAGTGTGCAGCCTGTAAAGGATGCCCTGGCTTTGGCAGGAGCTGTGGCTGCCCCTGTGTGAGAGGGAGCTCCCTTTTTTCACTGCACCCCTAAATCTATGGTTGAGGTCTTTTCTTAGGCTGGGTTATCTGTGACCCAGAAAAGTGCTCTGTCCTGCCCTTTCCTGACCAGTAGAATAGGGACCATTAGGGCTTAAGACTGTCTTTAAAAGGAGATTCTTTGGTACAGTTGCTTTGGCTTGGTGTTGGCGTAGCTACAGCAGATTCAGGTAGAGTTCAGCTGTACCTTCTCTCCACAGCCCTGGTATCTGGCCTGCCTCTGGGCCTCCTGGTTATAGCTGGGTGTTCCTTTTGGTCGAAGCCCAGCTCTTTGGTGAGAAATAGATGGAATTTGAGGCTAGGTGAGACTGCATCACAGAAATTGAGTTCAGTGTGGTGCTTGCTGGTCAGGGTTCCCAGCATTTCCTAAGACAGTGACCCTGAAAGGATGTCTTCAGAGCCTGCTGACACAGCTGGCAGAGGCTGTGTGTGTTCACTGTGTGCAGAAGACAGAGCCCTAGCGGGGCAGGCAAGTGTAAAGTGCGGAGCTCTGGGCCGCAGGGAGCGCCCAGGCCAACAGGAGCAGCTTCACATAGAGGGCGAGGAGGTACAGTCTTGTGAGGATGGAAGGTTGGGAAGGATTCTGGGTGGTGCCAGGCCAGAAAGGGTGCCCTTACAGCTAGGACCGACTGCCTGCAGTAAGGGCAGGGAGTGCTTCTAGGTCCCTGACTAGGCCAAGTCCCTTCCTTTCCCCCATTGCCTTGGGCTCCCTAGCATTCTTCCTTTTGCAAGAGACTGGATACCAGTTAATCTTCCCAGAACGCTGCTTAGAAGGTGGCATTGATCTTGTAGCTGCCTAGAGAATATCCTCGGCGTCCTCACTTTGGCCTTAAAGGCCCACACACGTCAGGTGCTCTGCAGGTAATATGGTATCATCTCTTGTGTGTATGTGTGGGGGTGGGGGGTTGGTACCAGGGATCGAACTCATGACCTCATACTTGCCAGACAGGCACTTGTGCCACTGAGCTAAATCCCTAGCCCCTGGTATCTATCTTCTTGCCAGGACAGCTGACCCAGTTTGTTTGGCTTCAGGTGTGGCCTTAGAAGAAAGCCTTCCCTGTTCCAGCCTATCAGAAGTGACCCCTCTATTCTATTCCTGGCGCCTCACACTCTTGCCTTGTAGTTTAGTTACTCAATGTGGCTTTATATTATTTTCTCATGGCATGTGTCCTTCCGGCTGAGGCTTACTTATCCTTATGTTTTCCATAGTACCTACCACGAAAACCCTGCACTGGTAGGCACTCACGGGGTATTTACTGAATGACTTGCTAACTAGATTCCCGGCTTTGTGGTGCCCTGAACTGTGAGGCTGGAGAGTAATGGGCAGATGGAGCCCTGGAGAGGGCCCTGAGAAGCTGCTGGCCCTTTGCTGGACTTTACTGGGGCCTATTGGGACCTAGATAAGTGCAGAGGCGCATAGGGCCCCTGGGGCAGCGAGTGGTCAGAGCAGAGATCCGGATGTGGAGACAAGCACCTGTTTGATGGTTCATTTTTCACCCACAAATGTTTACTCTGAAAAGAAAGAAGAGAAATGACCTTTAGTGGAGTTTTCAGGGCAAGTGGTCATTATCAGTTCAAGGCCAGTTCCAGCCAGAGTGTGGAGATGGAGAGAGAGTTCTTGGAAAAGCAGGGATGAGCAGGGTCAGAACTCTGCACCCACAGAGAAAACAGAGCAGACCAAGGAGTTGAGGGTGACCTGGGAGCTTGGACAGAGGAGACAAGCACATTATAGATTAGATTATGCTAGTGTTACCCATCTGGCTGAATAGAGCCTGCCATGACCTTGAACAGTTTTTGCAGGTGATATGCATGAAAGGGACCATGAAGCTTTGTCTCCATGACAGGTTCCGTTCCAGCTGTTCCACTTGTTATTCTGGACACCCCCTGTGTTCCTGGCTGTCCCTCTGTTTAGATACCGAGGCTGAGTTGGAGTGTTCAGTGTCTATCCCCACTTAGCTTAGCTCCTCTGGGACAAGGACTCTAGGATAAGAACACGTGGGAGGGAGGAGTGGTAGTGACCATGCCACTGTGTTCTGGAGAGACGAGTTACTCTTCTCTTTGAAAAGCTGGGGCTGAGCAGCTCCTCCAGGGCCTGGCGCCTGCCCACCCAAGCATGGCGGTGTGTCTCTGTGAACGTCGGTGGCCGCAGGCCTGTGGTCATCGGACCGCCCCCACCAAGGCTGTGTCTCTGCTCTCTCTGCAGCGAGAGCCCAGCATCGACCTGCTCCAGGCCTTTGTGGAGCACTGGAAGGGCATTACACAGTACTACATCGAGAGCACAGGTGCGGCCTGCTCCTCCCCACTTCAGGGACCCCTGGAGGGAACTAGAAGGAAGATGTGGGCAAAGGGTTACAGGGCAGGGGACTTGGGAAAGTGACATCCATTGCATGAGTTGGTGCCAAGCTAATGGAGACCAGAAACAGACAGATGGAAGACCTAGAGCCATAATCACCTCTGGTCTTCATGGCTTAGTTAGTGGCCCAGCCCTGACCTTTCGGGAGTAGAGCTATGTGAGGAACATATGGGGACAAGGAGGTGGAGATGTCACTGAGCAGACTGTAAGACAGAGGTGGCTCTACTTCCCCCAGCTTCCACCTAGGTAGAACCTCTGAGTTCTCAGTTCCCAAGTGCTTCTACTTGATGAAAAGCAGAGAGATGGAACAAGTTCTCCTTTTCCCTGAGCCAATTTAAGGATATTTCCCTGGTAGAGATCTAGGTAGGAAGAGGCCAAAAACCAAGGTAGGGAACCTTCCTGAGTTCTCAAACTGGCACCACTGAGGGCCAAAGCCTCAGTGTCCTGGCCCACCAGGACCACTCACTGAAGGTCACTACCTGATTGGCTGCTCTGTAGTTAGTACACCTGTACTGGTGAATACAGACTGGTTGCCAGGTAACCAAATCTTGTATTCCTAGCTTTCCATCTCCTTGGAGTTCAGACTGGGTCTGATTCCAGCCTACGCCTTTCCTAAAGGCATCCTTTTCAGTTTGAGTGAGCCCAGGAAATTACAAAGAGCCTTTTGGGCATTCTGGTGACCCTTTGTGAGTTCCATTAGACCAGGTTTCAGTTTGAGCATGGTTAACATTTGGCCTGGGTCACTTGGGAGAATGACCTGTGTTTTGTAGTCTGTTGAACAGCAATTTTAACCTCTTCAATTAAGATGCCAGCCCCCCTCCCCCCGCATTGTGACATTTGTAAATATTCCTAGATGTTCCCTGGAGGACGAGATTGTCACTGTCCACAGGAGAGTAGGACCCATCTACATCCAGTGCTTTGTCCAGAATGGGCCTCAGACCAAATGCATGCCAGAGTGAGAGGCCAGCTGCCTGGCTCAAGGACTTATGCGTTAGAGAAAAGCTAGAGGGTGCTGCAGGGTGGCCCCAAAGCCCTCTGTCTGGAAATGCCACCTGCTCAGGCTGACTCCATTGCCCCAGTGGTGGCTGAGCAGGTGCGGGTGCATGCAGTGCACAGATGGTTTTCACCTTCTGTGAACACCGGCAAAGGGACATAAATAGGCCCTGGGACATTGCTGCTCAGGAAACTGCTAGAATAATGGCCTCTGAATTATATATATACTAAATTATCCGAGCCCCAGCTTCTCACTCAGGCCAGAGCAGACAGGCAGCTTTCAGCTCTGTCCTGTGCATAACCAGGATATGCTCTGGTCTCAAGGGGTTGGGGTGAACCATGAGGCCTTCTGATGCAGTGCTGGACAAAAGAACGTTCTCAGTGAGAGGGTGAGGGTCACATCCTGTACTCATCCAATAGGAGTTCTGTGTTCCATATGCAAGCATCAGCTGTAGACTTCCATTTCCGGTGGTGCTGGCCCCTCCCCACCTTCCAGCTTGACTTCTTTCTGGGCTTAGCAGGAGAGGCCTCCGCCTTGGAGTCTAGGTATCCTTCTGCACCCCACTCACACTTGTGTTCTGGATCTTGGTCAGATGAAACCACCCCAGCCAAGAAGACAGATATTCCCTGGCGGCTGAAGCAGATGCTGGACATCCTGGTGTATGAGGAGCAGCAGCAGGCAGCCGCCGGCGAGGCTGGGCCCTGTCTGGAGTACCTGCTGCAGCACAAGATCCTGGAGACCCTGTGCACACTGGGCAAGGCTGAGGTGGGCATGCCCACCCCGGGCACCTGAAACCTTCCACCCCAGCCAGGCCGCTGAATGCCAGTGTCCCAGCTGACACTGAGGTTCTGGGTGCTGGGGACATGGCAGTGAGAAATGCTGACGGGGATGCTTGTGGGTGAAAGGCAGGATGATTGTTAACCACAGAAGATGGGTTCCTGTCCTCACTAAAATCATGGATACACAAGGCTCTTAGATAAAATCGGGTTCTGAGTTTCTGGAAGCAGTCTCCTTGGATACCAGGAGATGCCACATTTGCATATAACTTGCACATGTCCCCCTGTACCTTTAAATGCGCTCTGGCTGCCTTAGAGTACCTGATAGGATGTAAGTGCTGTTGAGATGGTTGTAGCTTTGGTTAGGGAGTAATGTCAAGAACAAAGATTCTGCGTGTTTGGTACAGATGTGAGTTTTTGGGGTTTTTTGGTTTTTTTTTTTTTTGTTTTTTTTCAGATGTGAGCTTTTGAAAATACGTTTAGAACCTATGAGTGTGGCGGGAGGGCCAGCTGGCTTCTGTTCCATGATGACACAATTATACTGAGAAAACTAAGGCAGCACAGGGCTAAGAGCACAAGGAATGCCAGTTCCTACATTTCCAACAGGGCAGGAGGTGGGCAGCCCTGTGCCCAGGGAACGGGGTCTGTGTGGTAGATGTGTTCCCCTGACTGGCACCCCATTCTGACCCAGTACCCCCCAGGCATGCGGCAGCAGGTGTTCCAGTTCTTCAGCAAAGTCCTGGCCCAGGTGCAGCACCCACTACTGCACTACCTCAGCGTGCACAGGCCGGTACAGGTGAGGCCAGCAGCTGAGGGCGGCCGTGGCACACGTTCCCTTTCCCCGCCACCCCATTCTCTTCTGCTTCTGTCCTCTTTCCCCCTTCTAGAAACTTCTGCAGCTCGGTGGGGCAGTCCCTGGGTCCCTCACGGAAAAGGAGGAAGTGCAGTTCACCAGCGTCCTGTGCTCCAAGATCCAGCAGGACCCAGAGCTGCTCACCTACATCCTGGAAGTAAGTACCTGGGGGAGACCCCCTTAGTTTCCATGGAGCCAGGAAGAGAGGGGACGTGGGAGGGGTTCAGGCAGCTTTTCTGCAGCTCCAGCAGGGGCCCTGTCCACTACCCACCCTACATTCTTTTTTTTTGGTCTTTTTCGTTTTTATTGGTACCGGGGATCGAACTCACGACTGCCGCTGAGCTAAATCCCTAGCCCCCCACCCTGCATTCTTGTTTTTGCAGTACTGGGATTGAACCCAGGGCCTTTGTGCTGAACTACATTTAAAAAAATGCATTCTCATTTAAAAAAAAATTTTTTTTTTTAAATTTTGAGACAGGGCCTCATTAAGTTACTAAGTTGGGTTCAAACTTGGCCATCCTCCTGCCTCAGCCTCCCAGAGTGTTGGGATTACAGGTGTGTACCACCACACTTGTGCACCTCCACTCTACATTCTTTTTTGTTTCATTTCATTACTCTGCCCTCTTAAAGGCAAACCCTTCAAAATGGTCTCCCTGTCACCTGGCCTCACCTCATCTTCTTTGCAGGGTAAAAAGATTATAGGGAAGAAGTCATCCAGAGAGTCTACGGCCCTGTCTGAAGACACAGGCAGCCACAGGAACAAGGACTGTTGTCAAAACTGTGCTCCTGACAGGGGCCCCCAACTGTATGGGGAGCACTGTGGGGGCCAGGCTTTGAACAGCCATCTGCCTGCTGAGACTGAGGGCCCAGATAGGCCTGGGGAGAGCAACCTGATCACCACCCTGCTGGGGCTGTGCAAGAGCAAGGTGCTGGCTGCAGAGGCGGTGGGTGGGCAGGTGAACTGTGGGGGCGGAGTCAGGGAACCATGCATGGCTGGAAGGTGGCTTGGGGGTTTGCAATGCATGTCCCTGAGGTTGTGTCCTCATCCCCTAGAAGGGTCGGGTGGCCCTGAAGGCCCAAGAGAACCTGCTGCTCCTGGTGGGTGTGGCCTCCCCAGCAGCTGCCACCTACCTGGCTCAGAACAGCCCCTGTTGCATTGCGATCTCAGAGCATCTGTGCCAGCTGTACCAGGCCCTGCCCGCCTTCCTCGACCCTGCAGACATCGCCGCTTTAGAGGGCATCAGCTGGAGGTGGGCTCTGGCCAGGGAAGGTTGGGCAAACATCTCAGGGTCTGGTAGCCAGCTCCTCTAGTGTCCATGTGGGGTGGGGACGCTGCTAGTCACCTTCTTCTCGAGGTGACAGCACATTCCCAGAGTCTCTGACCATAATGTGGCAGCCGAACTTGAGCCCAGCCACGGAGCTTCTCCAGGGGAAAGGGAGAGGACAGCTCTGGGATGTCCTTGAGGTACGGAAGACCTTGAAGCTTCTCCCATGCCCTCTAGACTTCCTGCCTCCCTCTCCCCTAGGTTACCCAGTGCCCCATCCGATGAGGCATCCTTCCCTGGCAAGGAGGCCCTGGCTGCCTTTTTGGGCTGGTTTGATTACTGTGACCACCTTATCACAGAGGCGCACACGGTAAGCAGGGGCAGGCGCGGCCGGAGCTCATGGCTTCCCTTGCCATCTGGTCTGGAGGACAGAGTAGAGCAAATGCTCAGTGACCTGCTATGCAAGGCACAGTGACTCCTGGGGCAGCTGCGATGGGCGCAGACATGGTAAAGACATGCTCTTTGCCCCAGGTGGTGGCTGATGTCTTGGCAAAGGCTGTGGCCGAGAGGCTGTTTGTGGATACCCTGCAGCCTCAGCTCCTGCACGTGTAAGTACCTTTCCCAGTCTGTTGCTCTTGGCCCTTGTCTTTCTTTCTCTCTCTCTCTTTTTTTTTTTTTTGGAGACAGGGTCTTGCTGTGTGGTTCAAGCTGGTCTTGAGGTCACTGAGGAGTCTAGACTGGCCTTGAACTCACATGATCCTCCTGCCTCAGCCTCCTAGGTGTTGGGGTTACAGGCATGCACCACTACCGCCAGCTTTGGCCCTTGTCTGTATCTTGGCCATCTCACCAACCCTTCCTGGCCCTAGGCAGGGACCTTCTTGGCCAGAGTCACATTTGTGAACTCCACTGATTTCCATTTTCCAGGCCTGCCTCTTGTACACACGAGCTCTGAGCCACTTGGGCTAAGGGCACCTCTGTCTGAAGGCCCTCTGTAGGGATAGGGACACAACCAGAGACACAGTATCCAAAGGTGTAAGGCAAACAGGAAAGGGGTGCCACACCCCCACTCCCATCATCCCTGCTCCCCTTCTGCCGCCCCTGGCATGGCACAGCCTGGCCTGGCTAAGGGGCCTCTGCCCGCAGGTCTGAGCAGAGCATCCTGACTTCCACCGCCCTGCTGACAGCCATGCTGCGCCAGCTCCGCTCCCCACCGCTGCTACGGGAAGCTGTGTCCTTCTTGCTGGGCTCCCACCAGCAGCCTGCAGCGGCTGCCGAAGACAATACACACACCCTGCGTGACTACCTCATTGGGCACTGTGACCACCTCTCTGATGAGGTGAGGGTGGGTGCTCACCTCTGCTCCCCCGTCTATCCCCCACAGCACATTCCCTGAGCACCTCTGCCTGGTTCAGCCACCTTGGGCCTCTCAAAGCACTCACAAGGTGAGGGGCTGGTTTTGTCACAGTTATTTCCTGTGATCACCTGTGTTTTATGGCACTGAATATTTTCCAAACTGCTTGCCTAGTCATTTGGCTTTGTTGTTTTCCTCCCCTCTTTCAGTGCTAGGGATTGAACACAAGGCCAGCCTGTTTTTATTTTTTATTTTGAGTCAGGGTCTCTTTAAGTCACTAGTGGCCCAGGCTGGGCTGGAATTTGTAATCCTCAAAGAGAGCTGGGATTACAGGCATACACCACCACATCCAGCTTCATTTGGTTTATTGGAGGCCAAGTGCTGTGTGAGGTAGAGGAGGCTCATAATTCCAGGAATGCCAGCGACCATGCCTAACTGGAGTGTGATCTATGGAGACAGGCACAGTGGCAGACACCTGTGACCCCAACTACTCGAAGGTTGAGGTGGGAAATGCAAGTGTTAAGGCCAGCCTGGGCAATGTAGCAAGACCCTGTCTCTGGATGTGGTAAGGGTTGGGGTATGGTAGGCTGCCTATGGGTTTAATCCCAGTACCACCACCAACCACCAAAAAAAAAATGAGGACCATGCAGGCTTCCTACTTCTCTGGGTCATAGCCCCATCGTGCTCCTGAAACCTACTCTCTTGGTTCCTAGCCCAGGGATATGACCCTGCCTTGAGGACTTTCTTATCTAGGCCAGCAGTTCCCAGGCACTGGAAGGAAGGGGGTGGTGGGGAGGGTGCCCTGCTGAGCCCTTGTGTTGCAGATCAGCATTGCCACTCTCCGGCTGTTTGAGGAGCTACTGCAGAAGCCCCACGAGGGGGTCATCCACAGCCTGGTTTTGTGTAACCTGGAGGGCCGCCTGTATGTGGCCCGGAGCTCACCGGAGCCCGAGAACTATGAGGAAACCATGTAAGTGAAAGCATCATGTAACCAGGAATCTGAGGCCACCTGGGGCCCAGGCCACCCCAGTACACTCATACTCATTATTCCTTCACTTATTGGCGTGCGCTGGCCATAGAGACCTGGAGGAAGACCCCTACTTCACCGATGGCTTCCTTGATTCCGGCCTCCAGCCCTCTACAAAGCCTCACCAGGCTCCTGCCACTTCGGATGGCAAAACAGCAGTGACAGAGATTGTCAACAGGTGAGGAGCAGGTTAGGCAATTGGAGCCACTTGAGTCATCTTGTTTCTGGGGTCCAGGGAGCAGGGGAGCATGGGGGTCCCAGGGAAGCAGCTCCACACCGCAGCTCCTGTCTCTCAGCTTCCTCTGCCTGGTCCCTGAAGAAGCCAAGACTTCAACCTTCCTGGAGGAGACCGGGTATGACACATACGTCCATGATGCCTATGGACTGGTGAGTGGGGCTTTGCGGTGACCCTCCTCATCCCTCCAAGCCTTTGGGTTGACAGACACTTTTGATCTTCTGCCCCAGGAACTGAAGCCCTCCCGTCTTGTGGGGTCCCTCAACTCTGTCCCTTCTTTCAGTTCCAGGAGTGCAGTTCCCGTGTTGCCCCCTGGGGTTGGCCCCGGACTCCTACCCCTTTGGACCCCTATGAACCAGAACGGCCTTTCTTTGAGGGTCACTTTCTCCAAGTATTGTTCAATCGCATCGCCCAGATTTTGGATCAGGTAGCCAATGGGTTGGGGCCCAGGAGAGGTCCAGGCTGGGTGTCCAGAGTCTTGGAAGATAGTGGGTGCCAGCCATGGGGCTTGACCCCTCTTGGGCTCTTGAGCTCCACACACCCCCACCCCTAGCCTTTCCCCGGGCGGGAAGTCCTGTCTCGCCTCTGCTTCACACGCCCTGACATGCTCTGGCCCTCAGCCTCAGGGAATCCATGACACACTCATCACGTGAGTCTCCCACCCCCGCACACGTTCACACCAGCCAGGCGCCTTGCTGGGGGAGTGCAGAAAGGCTCACCACTCCCCACCAGCCCCCAGTGTCGTCCATCTTGTTCTCTGCAGCCCTACAGCCTAAACCTACAAGTGACCTCAGTCCTGTCCCGGCTCGCCCTCTTCCCCCACCCCCACATCCACGAGTACCTTCTGGATCCCTACATCAACCTGGCCCCTGGCTGCAGGAGCCTGTTCTCTGTGCTGGTCAGGGTAAGGATGCCAGGGGTAGGAAGACAGGGAACAGGGCAGGGGCTGGGGGTGCAGGAGGGGGAACCCAGCCATGCAGGGGAAACTGCAGGTTCCCCAGCCACCATGGCACCAGAGCAAGGAGAGCCTGCAGGAGTGTGGCTGGGCCCTACCTCAGGCCTCCCTGGCTCCTGTTTTAGGTGATCGGGGACTTGATGCAGAGAATTCAGAGGATACCCCAGTTCCCGGGCAAGCTGCTCCTGGTACGCAAGCAGCTGATGGGCCAGGTCCCTGGAGAGCAGTAAGTAACCCTGGAAGTGGGTCGGGGAGGTGTCTGACCACTGGGTCCAGCCTTGTGAACTCAGGCTATCATGCTAGGCACATGGCTGCCCCGTGCCATCTGTACCCCCCTCCATACTGTACCTCTCAGGCTGGACCACCAGACCCTCCTTCAGGGCGTGGTAGTACTTGAAGAGTTCTGCAAGGAGCTGGCTGCCATCGCCTTCGTCAAGTTTCCCCCACAAGGTCCTCAGCTGAACTTCTCCCCGCCCCTGGAAGGACAAGTCTGAGACTCCTGTCCTCATTGCTGCCCGGAGCTGCCTCCTGCTTGGCCCTGCCATTGTCTGCAGCTCCCCTCCAATGTGGGGGCTTCAGCTCCCAGGCTGACTTGGGACCTGGGTCTGTTGATCACAGCAGCCTAGGTTCCAGTGGGCCTCAGAGGTGCCAGGAACAAAAGAAACCACTTCCCCAGCAGCATGTGTCCTCCGCCTGCTCAGAGGAGCTGGGTGATGGCCAGTTTGCACCTGGACCCTGACCCTTGTGTGTTGTCCACACTGTACAGTCCACACTGACTGTGTGTGATCAGAGCCACAACCAGTAACAACTCCAGGAGTCACATGGAGACAGCTACTGGCTCCAAGGCCAGCCAGGACTCCAGGCCTGAAAGCTAGGGGTTAGAAGGAGCCCCTGACCAACACATTTGGTATCATGGAAGCTGCTACAACCTGACAGGTTTCTCCCTGCCTTCATGGTCAAGCTCCAGAGAAGGGACTATGAAGGGGACTGCAAAGGACGCCCTTTTCCCTGCCCTGCCCTCTCAGCGGCTATTGCAAAATTCCCAACCGCCTCGTGGCAAATGCCCAAAACATGTTCCTCGCCCAGGCGGGGGCAGCTGCTAATGAGAACCTCGGGTGCAGCTGCAGCCAGGGTGGGCGAGGGCTGTGGAGCTGCGGAGCTGGGTGCCTGCTTCAGCCCCAGCTGCTTCCTCGCTGGCACCTCCTGAACCCGTCTCAGCAGGTCTACAACACCTGGGTAGCGAGGTCAGTGACCAGGGAGGGCTGGGCCTCATCCTCCAGCTCCTGCTCAGTGCCTGGAGTTCCTGATGGGTGGCCCTCCTTGGGGGCACAGGAGCTTGGGGTACAGACCAGGCAGGATGTACCAACTCCAGACCCCCCGAGGCTCGGCGGAGAGGGGCTGGGCATGGGCAGCCAGCTCTCCTTGCATGCCCTCTGCGTTTGGGGCCTGAATCTGTCTCAACCTGCAGGAGCTCACGGGCGGCGCCAGGCATTACCTCACAGTGAGACTGCAGTTGCTGGCTCGGCTTCTGGGCAAGGAGGAGCAGGCCAGAGCCCCTTTTGCTTCCTTTTCCTGCCCATGCCTCTTCTAGAAACTGGGCGCGGGTTGCCAAGAGGCGACATGAAATAAGGGGAAACTCAGTGACCTCTATCTCTCCTGCATTCCTCCCAGCGGGGGAGGACCCAGCTGCTGCTCCAAAGAACACTATGCACGCCTGCACACGGTTGCTGGTATGGGACAAGGGGCAGATCTCAGTGGGTGAACTGGGCCTGGACTTTGAGATTCTCCAGATGTTGGAGGGTCTAGGAGGCGTGGACCCTTCCCTCTAATCAATGCACTTTGTTATTTGCACGGTGTCTTCTCTAGACAGCACAGCAATAAACAGTGTGGAGTGCGTGGATATGCCGGCTCTGTTCTCCAGCCTTCCATCCATCCCCTGCCTAGCACTTCTATCTAAAGAAGACAAGCTCCTTTCCTTTTCCAGCTCTGAATCAGAGGGCGGTGGTACAGAGTAGTATAAGCCACATTTCACACCTTCCAGTTCACCTGTGCTTGAGCCTGCCACTCCTGGCCACCGATGGGGGGACAGGCCAGGAGGGAGCATCTGCATGCAGGTCTCTGTCCCTGTGTTTATTCTGTGGGTTCAGTCATGAGCAGTGGGCTTGATACTGAACAAACAAATTTTCCTTGGATATTTAGAGGGGAAGAGGGGCTCCTCTGAGGGGTCACCACAGCACTCCAGGGTCAGGCAGGCTGAGAACTTGGGAAAGGGTCCTCCAGTGGCTTTTAACGTTTTAAAAGGCTTTTTAGTCGTGTGTGATGGTGCATACCTGTAATCCCAGCACTTGGAAGGCTGAGGGAGGAAAATTGCTGCAAGTGTGAGGTCAGCCCTGGCTACATAGTGAGTTCAAGACTAGCCCAAACTACATAGAACTTAATCTCAAAAAAAGAAGCAAAATGCTTTTTAAAATGCCAGTGCTCGGGGCTGGGGATTTAGCTCAGCGGCATAAGCGCCTGCCTTGCAAGTTGTGCTGTCGTGAGTTCGATCCCTGGTACCGATAAAAACAACAACAAAAAAAAGACAAAAAAAAAAAAATGCCAGTGCTCAGCAGGATGCGGTGGTACACACTTATAATCCCAGCACTCAGGAGGCTGAGGCAGGAGCATCATTGCAAATTCAAGACCAGACTGAACTGCATAGGGAGACTGCCTCAAAAAAGATGAAAAAAAAAAAAAAAATAGCTCCAGTGCTAAGCCCCCTCCAGCAGTTCAGTCAGATGAAGGAAGACCGAGTGTCTATAAGCTCTCTGGATGATTCTAATGGGGCATCCGGCGTTGAAAACTACTGAGTGAACAGTGGAAATAACTACCACTGCCCTGCTAAATGGGTTTGGTTTGGGGGCCCCTCAGACACTAAGAGGAAAGAGATTAAAAGGGTTTGGCTCATCATTCAGATGTGTCCTCGGAGGGGCCCAGGATTCCTGATTCTCCCCACCCCATGCCAGAAAGACAAGCTGGTGGCCAGGAGAGGCTGGGAAGGGTCAGTAATTCTGGTCCATACCAGCCGTCTAGAACGGAAGGCCATTAGCATTTCCCTGCTCAGAACCAGAATCTGTAGATGCAGTGATTTTATGTTTTTGTAGGTACGGTGATTTGCACACGATAGACTTTCTTTGCTCATCAACTTTGGTTTTCCAGTAAAGCTTTTATTTAAAAAAAAAATAAATAAAAATTCTATTACTCTTTGCTGGGCTTTGCTGAAACCAAAAGCTTTAGTCCACATTGGGCTGAAAGTGTAAAGGCAGAGGCAGAAGAGCAGGTGGATAGGGATCAGAGCATGGAAGTTTGGGAGGAAAGAAACATGTCTGGCTTCCATCCCATCTGCAGCTTCCTGGAATCCCTACTGCTCAACCCATACGGGTCTGAGCTGTAGTTCCATTAGGGAACTGGTTCTCTCACAGCCACCTCCTGCCTAGAGACAGTCCAGTAGCTTGGGCTGGAGGAGACAGCAGTACCTTGCAGTGTCAGAAGGGAGCAGCAGTTCCAGCAAGAGCCCCTTTATTCTTTCCAAGAGATATTTAGGCAGGAAAGGAAGGGTAAAAAACATTATTTACATAGCATGCGGTCCTCTTATTTTTATTTTTTTAAAAACATTTTTTATGGGGCCCTCTTTTGAGGACCTCCCTATATTCCTCTCCAAGTCCAAAAGGATCAGTGTGAAGATCTTCAGTGTGGTGGGCAAGGGGTTCAGAAAGCTCCTGGACTCTGGAAGAAGCATCCATATGGCCTCAAGGCAGTCAGGCCTTTGAGCTCTGCGCTCCTCGTTTAGTTAAAGGCACTGTTCTTTTGGTGCAAAGTGGGGGTCGGCTGCATGAAGTACCCTTTGGCCAGGAGAACCGGTCCTGCACCCTCTGCATCAGGATCCCTGACTGCCAGCCTCTTGTCAGCCTCAGAGGAGGCAGAGTCCCATGGAGAGGATGCAGCTGCCCAGTTCCTGACGCCTACTGGCCCCTCCCTATCTGTTTACAGGGACAACAGAAGATTCCTGGAGCCTCTGGAGAAGCTGGCTCTGTAGGTCTCCCTCTATCACCTTCCACCAAAAGTAGTTCTCACCCCGAATCTTAGGGGGCTCATCTTGGCTTCCTGGGTTCCGAAAAGCCACTGTCACCAGGGCATTGAGGCAGATGCCATCTGTTTGGTCTCTGCCCAGGTGCTGCAACCCAAGCAACCCCTTGGTTTCCACTGTCAAATTGTGAAGGGTCAGACACTCCTGCAGCAGCCGCAGGATGGCCACCTTGATGCCACCCCTCTGCTCCATCAGGGTAAAGCCACAGGCAGCAATGGGCAAGTGTGGTATCCCCACCATGCCCACCAGTACCCACACAGTCTGGACACTGGTAAAAGTGACAACAAGCCTCAGGCATATCACACTGCAAGGCAACTCCTGGGGCAGAACCAGAGGGTGCCTAGCCTGCTGGTGGTACTTGGCGGCCAGCTCAATCAGGTACAGAATGTCATGGGCTCGAAGCGGACTGGGCAGGGAGATCCTCGGGTACCAGCCAGCCTGCAGAGACTCGGCATCTGCCTCCTTCAGCGTCTTGAGAATTCCACCTAGGGGAGATTTAAGGGACAAGGAGGGGAGAGGGTATGTCCTGTGAGTAGTAACAGAGCTAAGTGTGGTAGTGGACTCTAGGAGGCTGAGGCAGGAAGAAAGCAAGTTTGAGCCAAGCCTGGAAAACAGTGACTTATGGAGACTCCTGTTCAAAACAAAAGAGACTGGAATGTAGTTCAGGGCAAAGGCCTTGGGTTCATTCAATTCCCAGTATCCCCACCACCACCACAAAAAGAAGTATCAGGTCTGGCAGAAAAAATTAACACGTAGGCACACCAATCATGACCTCTCAGGCTGCAACCAGCCAGTAATTGGCCAGTACCAGTCAGAATAGGGTGCTGGCTGCAAAGGGGCCCATCTTCTGGAAGAATAAGCTGGGGGAAAAGGGACAATCAGCTCTAGCTCAAGTGCCACTAGGTGGGCCCTACCTGTGGCGCGAGCGAGGAACACGAAGCGGATCCAGGAGGGACCCCGCTCCTCCATGGACAGCAGCGTCACGGGCTCACAGTGCAGCCCAGCCTCCTCCCTCACCTCCCGCTGCAGCGCCTCCACGATGGTCTCCCCGGGCTCCATTCGCCCTGCAGGAAGGTACCATGACCCTCGGCACTCCCTCTTAGCCTCCTGGATCAGCAGCACCTCATCCTAGGGAAGGAGAGAGAGAGACTCTTAGCGCCCACTATGGTCAGCAGCTCTCCGTACCCCGAGGCCACCTTGGGTCTCAAACAGGGTACCCCACGATTCCCTTCCTAGTGGACACCTTGCAGTGTATCCGGAGACAGCGCCTTTGGGGCTAGCAGCTGCAGCTGTCTCCTCTGCACTAATTCATCTACTGGATTTAGAGAGGTTCCTTTACAGGAAGGGGCTGAGATCCCTGGAAGCTGCTTCTGAGGCTGGAGAGGAGGCCCAAAGGTAGGGCTGCCACTATCCTACAGTGATTTATGTCTTTCTATGTCACCGTGTAGCTTCCGCCTCCTCATAGTCAGGCTGGGCTTTGAAACTGACCCCCACCTCCACCCTGCTCTGTAAGACCTGTCCCTATGGCCCTGGCTCTTGTAGTTACAATATTGACGGAGTAGGGATGAGCACCAAAAAGAGCTCCTAGGGGTTAGGAGGCTCCACTGTAAACTCCTCTCTACTCCCCGTGGGGGCAGGAGGTCTTAGAAGCCCGGCAGCCCTGCCAAGAGAGCCCAGTCTGCGTTGGGCACCGCGATAGGCGCTTGGGAAGGGAAGCGGAAGACCACAATCCTCTCTTCTAGGACCTGAGGCCTAGCGGCCGTGATGGGCGGCCAGGGCCTCTGTTCCCTCCTCTATCTGCATGATCTCGGAGCTCAGATCCTAGTGTGAGAGTGCTTTGTAAAACTGGGAAGCGTCACGCACAGGGGGTGGCCGCGGCCGTCAGTCTTCGGTCCCCACCTGGGCCGGCTGCGCGCTCCCGAGGCCCCGTGGGGCCGGCGGGGGACGCTCACCTGCTCGTTGAGGAACACGGCCAGCACCACGTAGCAGACATCCCTCCGCAGCCGCACGGGAGCCCGGGGCTCGCCCGCCGGCTCTGAGTCACAGCGCTGCACCGGCAGCCCCTGGCCCCCTAGCACGGCCACCAGCTGCCCCTCCAGGCTTTCCGAGGCCATTAGGTCCCCCGGGGGGCGGCAGACCCGAACCCAGCGGACCCCGCCGGCGGGCGGGCTGGGACGTGCGAAGCATGGGACCCTGCGCCCTCGCCCTCCAACCCGGCGGACTCGGGCCAGCGCGAACGCGGAAGCTGATAGGTCGCGCGTCACCGCGGCCTGCGCCGATTGGCCAGCCCACGGAGTCGCCTAGGGGGCGGGGTCAGCTCATGAAGGGGCGGGGCGTCCTCTGGGCGTCTTAGGGACCCAAGTCCAGCTTCGGCTGTCCTGTGTCACCCCTCGCTTTCTTTCAGTCCCTCTCAGGATGCCTCCCGCTCCGACTTCGCTCATTACCTACGCACACTTGTCCGTGCCGGCCCGACGATGTCGTCATCCTGCCTGCAGGTGTTGGGCGCCTTTGCGGACAGTGGTGTCACAAGCTCGATGACGTCACGCAGCCCTGGGCCAGTCACTTGGACCCACTGTCTGCTTTTATCATAAACAAACTAAGACATTGCCCGAGATGATCGCTTCCCAAATAACTTCCTTCTTACTCCTTAAAATGTACTGAATGTCACAGTACATTTTTGTATTGAATGGCACATACACTGTCGCCATGGAGATTCTGATCTAGTTGGAGAGATGGACACAGACATGTCATAAAAAGTCACCTGAGGGTAGGAGACTAAGTATTAAATGACTGGTTTGGGCAGAAGATGTGACAGAGGAGGGAGGAGGCAGGGCTGAGATGCGGGATGATGGAGTGGGAGTCAGCAGCCTTCCTCAGCGCCCCCTGCCCACCCCATTTCTTATGCAGCGTCGGGTCTCTCTGCAGACTGTGCCCGTTGAGGGCTGGGGCATGGGGAACAGGGTGTGGGTTGTTTTGGGCGGCTCCTGTTTCTCTCCCAGCCTGACCTTTCCTCCTCAGAGCTTCCTTTAACCTCCTGTCAGGACAGAAGGCAGAGCCAGCTGGAAAGAATCGACAAGCAAGCCAAGTCTGGGCTCCCCACGATGTCCGATGTCCGGGAGGCCTCCCCTTCCTCCCTCCTGCTGGCTTTGTGCACCTCCCTTTGGTGACTGGATGAGGGGCTTGGCGATTTTGACATAGCTTTGGACTTCAAGCCAGATGTCTAGCCACTGCTGGCTGGCTGGCTCTTTCTGTGCTCCTGGGTAAGCTATGTCCTCAGTTTCCTTATCTGTGCTGTCAGGTCACAACAGCCCTCATTTAACAGGGTGTTGGGAAGCCAAGGTGTGCAGAGAGATGCTGTGTGGACAGTCCAGCCAGGCTGCTTGCCAGTTCTGCAGGCCGGGCCCTAACAACCACAGCCCTTGTCCGTCCCACGTGAAAATGGGCTGCCCTACAACTGCACTCCACTGTCAGGAGTCCCAGCCACGTGGGACTGGCGTCCTTATGTCCTCCTCAACCACTGATGCTACTGCATGTTGTCTGCATCTGGGTCCCTGGGTCAGGTGGTGGAATCTCGTAGGCCCAAAAATGTTTGAAGACTGTGGATCTGTGCTCTGGTGCAGTTCTAAGAACTCCCATGCCACAAACAACTAAACTTGTGTGGGTCGGGACCCAGGGGCTCCACAGCAGCCTGTTGACATATTTGCTCCTTGTGTGTGTTCATATCCCTCAGTTTTCCCATCTGTGAAGTGGGGCAGCCTTGGTTACAGACTCCTTTCTGCCTCCCAGGGATGAATCGAGAGAGAGTGAGGTCATGTCTGGGCAGGGCTCTGGGAGCTTCAGAGGCACCCTATGATAAACACCAGGCGGTCTAACTGCCTAGAAGAACAGAGGCTGCCACAAACCACAGCTCTGCTCCCCATTATCAAGGGAGTGGGGCACGCACTTCTCTCCTGTGGAGCGGGCATCGGCCCCCTTCCAGACAGAGCTGAGGCAATAGAATAGGCAGATGTCCTGAAGGCTCCTTCCTGCTGTGCTGGCTGAGACAACAAAGAGAGAGCATTGCCCAAGCCTTGGGAGAAAGAGGCAGGTCAGAGCCGGAGGCCCTGAGACAAAAAGAAGAAAGTGAGGGAGCAAAGGAGATGAAAACAAGGCTTAGGCTGGGTAAGGTGGGACACAACTGTAACCCCAGCACTCAGGAAGCTGAGGCAGGAAAACTGAATTGGAGCCAAGCCCGAACTACATAATGAGTTCAAGGCCAGCCTGTACTACATAGTGAGACTAAAAACAAAAAGCAAAACAAAAAACAGTGACAAAATACTTACAGCAAGACTGTGGGTGTCCTTTGTTTCTAGAAGGGGAGGGATGCGGCTAGCATGGGTGGCCAGTCTTTGTGGCAGACAGGAGTGGACTGACACATACACCCTCATGGAGTGAAGACTGAGCTGGCCACTTGGGCCATGAATCTGCATATGTTATGAACACAAAGCTAGAAGGCTTGGGGTAGGCAGGCTTGGGGACACAGGGATGGGAATGGGGACAGGGACAGAGACAGGGATAGGCAGTCAGGGTGAGGACATGGTCTGTGATGATGGTCATTTACAGAGCAGCGGCTCCGCTCTCTTGACAGAGTAGGGAGGCTGAGGAGGACAGTGGCCCGCCAGGGGAGGAGGACGTCTGGCTGCAGAGGGGGAGGTTCTGCCACTGGCTCCCTGTGTGACCTTGGGGAAGCCTTGGGCCTTGTCAGATGTTGGCATTGTTGGATCCTGGAGTAGAAAAAGAACATTAGTGGTGAAATCCCAACGAATTCTGTCGTGTTGCTGAGAGTTCACATCAATGTTAATGGCTTAGTTTTGATAAAGGCACCGTGTTTATGTAAGATGTTCCCATTAGGGGAAGCTGGGTGAAGGATAATTGGGAACTTTTTGTGCTGTCTTTGTGGCCTGACTATAAATCTGAAGTTATTTCAAAATAGAAAGTTAGAATTTTATAAGAAAGAGACGGAAGCAGATGTTGCCTATGTGCACCCCGAATTTACTTCTGGTGCTGTGGCTTGTGTGTCTGTCTCATGTGGGTCAGAGACAGGGGCTTCGGCAGAGGGTGGGTGATGGGCTGCTGACCCCAGCCAAAGTAGAGGCCCAAGGTGTCTTCATGGGGAACACTGCCCTAAGTGCTCCAGGGTCAGTGCCCACCTTGGCAGACTCCATTTCTAGATCCAGTCCTAGGACAAATGGGTATTCATCCACCTGCTGGGGCAGTGAGTCACACCAAATATGCCCCTGAACACCAAATGTGATCCACCAGGGAAGGGGAGAGAAGGTGAGGTCGTGTGGGGAAGAGAGAGGCTCGGGGACTTGTCCAGCCCCACCCCGATGCACAAAGTGCCGAGCAGCATCTTCCCAGGAAAGACTCTGTATTTTGGGCTCCGGGGTGACATCAGGACAGTCTTGAAGGTGAGGTGTAAATAGCAATGTGTCATCCAGTGCTGCCTGGAACACAATCAGCTCTAAAGTGCATGCAGTAGGAGGACAGAGAAGAGGGCAAGCTTCTCTTTAAATTCTGTGAAGCGCTAAGACTGCACCATAAATGAGGTGGCTTGAGTCAGAAAATTTGGTTCAAATCCCAGCTTTGCCACTAAAATTGCTGTGTGACCTTGGGTGACTTATTTAACCCCAATTTGCCGGTTTTTTTCCTCTGAAAAATGGAAATTCTATCTGCCTCAAAATAGTGACACAAATTAAGAGATATCATTTAAGTGAAAAGGCATTAAGTAAAAGAAAGACATGGCACAGAAAACATAATTTTTCTGTTTTTTTTTTTCTTTTTAATCCTAAGAAAAAGTGAAAGTAACTGAACCTACAGTGAGGAAACCTAACTTTTTTTAAAAAATGTAGATGGTTATGTAAATCATGGCACCACTGATTAATGAAATACACGCAGCCACTTAAAATGAAGACTAGGCAGCAATACCGAAAATGATTACAATCCTGTGTTAAGAGAAAGCAACCAAATCCGAGGTGCCCCAATTCACCCATGTGCACAACAGATGCCTAGAGAAGATGCTAGAAAGAAATCCACCCAAATACTCAGAGTGGTTGGGTCACGGATGATAGAGATGGGTGTCAGGTGGCTATCTTATTTTCCAAATGTCCTCAACATGTTACACTTATAATAAAAAATTTTATTTAATAAAAAAAATTCCCCAAACCACAGCAGGAACAATTAGGGATGACGCGAGGTGGAGTGTTGCTGGGGTAGAAATACATGGGGTAGGGGGCGGAGGGCTGAGCCACACCAGGGCCTCGGGGACAGGGCAGGGAGGGGATAGCAGCAGCATTTGAGGTGGGGAAGCTCGGTCCCCAGGCTGTGGCCACCGTGGGTGGTGGGGCTGGGCACAGGCTCCCCTGCGCCTCCCTCCAGCGTGGGGCAGACAGGAGAGGCGGGTGGCCTGGAGTTTATGGGGACAGGGGGGTTCTGGAGTCCACAGCTGATGTCGCACAGGGAATCTACTCAGTGCTGTGCAGGGGACTTCCTCACTTCCGTCTGCTGTCACACTCAAGGGTATCTTCAGGGGGCAGCGCCCCGGAAGGCTCCAGGCTCCCAGAGGAAGAACAGGCCAGGGTGTTTGAGGGGACCCCTGTCCCCTCCTGCCTTTGTCTGTGTGCCTCTGCTCCAGGGCAAATTTCCTTGTTTCTCCTCCCATCCCAGACCATGTGGCCTGCAAGAGCAGGGCCAACCACATTGGCAGCATCACAAAACAACAGATTTTAATGGAAATCACACAGTAAGGAGGGAGGTGGGAGGCTGCAGTGGGGGCAAGGTGGCACGGCCCATGTCATTCCCTCCAGCCTGGGCAGTCCCTGATGCCCTGTCCCCCATGCTTAACAGCAATTCTGGCAAGAGGGCAGGGTTTCTGTGGCCCCTAGTCCAGCACAGCCGCAGCATGCAGGGCTGCCTGGAAACCCAGTGAGGGTGTGGGTGGTTTAAGCAGAGCTTGGGACACAGGTAGGGATTAGGCAGCGGAAGAAAGTGTTGCTTAAGCCAGAATGATTCCCAAGGTCTCCCCAAGAAAGGGCTGTTTGTCTCCTGGATTGTGGCACAGGGATTGGAGGGAGAGTGTTCCACCTCTCCATGGTACGACCTGGTACCATGGAGAGGGGCACAGGGTAGAGCAGGTGCCAGCCTGCAACAGGCAGGTGTGTCAGTGGCACTACGGTTGGCTTTACTGCCAGGACAAGGGCAAGGAATGGGGTAG